TGTGATTCTCTCAGGCAATTTATAAAATGTGTAAATATTTCAGTCATTTTGACTAAAAAATCTGTCCAGATTGATCAAGACGATCAAAAGGACCTACAAACATCACAACAGATTATTATGTAGGATTAAAAGCCAAACAACTTAGAATTCGTTGTCATAATAATACAGATGGAAATGTTTTTCAGTCACTTTGTAAAATAACTGAATATTTAGACGTTTAATAAATTTGTTACACATTTGACAGTAAAAAAATATACACACTATAAAAAAAGCATATGCTCAGGTGAAATATATACTTTGTGTTGCAAGTCAAAATAGTGTAAACGAAAATCGCAAAATTACCAAGCAAGTGACTTATCAAAACTTCGTCACCATTACCGATGCTTCTCACAAAGATACCTACATTTCCTTATTATCTCGAAAACTGTATTTCATTTTGTTGATCAATGTGACCATACGCCCTTATTACTACCCATAAAAGTGACTAATGCGCTTACGAATGGCGCAGCAGAGGTCGCGAACTAGTCTAGATTTCTGCTATACATCCGGGTATTCACTGGGAAAAAACAATAACAAAGGCAACAACCAGTCCCGGGGAATTGCGTTAGATCAGTGCCCCTTTAAGGTATAGTTTTGCTAACAGTATCATAAAGAGGCATCTTCCCTAGGCAAGGGAGTAAATTGACTATAAAAGTTTTAACGTATGATTAATTTAATTCCTCTCTTTTCAATATATACTTTAAAAAACTTCCCTCAAATTCTTTATCTTTGTCGACACTAATCTGTTTTGGTACTCGTCCTTCTCACAGGTTTTCATCTCCTCTTCCGGTTGTTTTCCTTAAGGGGGCCTACCCACAACAGATAGTGCCTGTCACAATCAATAGATAAGGCACCTAATCGTTTGCTTTTGAGTGACATCAGCTAGGTCAATGTCCCACATTTCGTCTAACTCATTCACTCGTACACGTAGTGGGGAAAACTGGTTTATGTAGAGTTTAAGCACCATTTCCTTCACTTTCCAAATCATTATGTATACTCCGTTTCTGTAAATCTGGTCGAAACTTATACTGTCCATAATATGCCCCACTTTTTTAAGACCGAAATAATTATCTTCTAGCAGTTTACTGTCATGTTTTCTCGAACTAGACATGATTGCAAGTGATAGGACAGTAAGGAATCTATCCTTTATATTGTATGGTAAACGAACATATTGCAGTTGTGTTAATTATGTTGATTTATTCAAATCGAGTTTGCATGTGCAACTAGATTCTTTACACTATTTTCGCATTGCTCTGTCTTGAGCTGTGCATTCGGGAAGTCCGCACACTGGTATTGCCAAAACACAACGTTACATGTGTCTCTCATGCACGGATCTACCATGACAAGTTCTCACACAACGTTACTTGTGTCTCTCATGCACGGATCTACCATGACAAGTTCTCACACAACGTTACTTGTGTCTCTCATGCACGGATCTACCATGACAAGTTCTCGCACAACGTTACTTGTGTCTCTCATGCACGGATCTACCATGACAAGTTCTCGCACAACGTTACTTGTGTCTCTCATCCACGGATCTACCATGACAAATTCTCGCACAACGTTACTTGTGTCTCTCATGCACGGATCTACCATGACAAGTTCTCGCACAACGTTACTTGTGTCTCTCATGCACGGATCTACCATGACAAGTTCTCGCACAACGTTACTTGTGTCTCTCATGCACGGATCTACCATGACAAGTTCTCACACAACGTTACTTGTGTCTCTCATGCACGGATCTACCATGACAAGTTCTCACACAACGTTACTTGTGTCTCTCATGCACGGATCTACCATGACAAGTTCTCACACAACGTTACTTGTGTCTCTCATGCACGGATCTACCATGACAAGTTCTCACACAACGTTACTTGTGTCTCTCATGCACGGATCTACCATGACAAGTTCTCGCACAACGTTACTTGTGTCTCTCATGCACGGATCTACCATGACAAGTTCTCGCACAACGTTACTTGTGTCTCTCATGCACGGATCTACCATGACAAGTTCTCGCACAACGTTACTTGTGTCTCTCATGCACGGATCTACCATGACAAGTTCTCGCACAACGTTACTTGTGTCTCTCATGCACGGATCTACCATGACAAGTTCTCACACAACGTTACTTGTGTCTCTCATGCACGGATCTACCATGACAAGTTCTCACACAACGTTACTTGTGTCTCTCATGCACGGATCTACCATGACAAGTTCTCACACAACATTACTTGTGTCTCTCATGCACGGATCTACCATGACAAGTTCTCGCACAACGTTACTTGTGTCTCTCATGCACGGATCTACCATGACAAGTTCTCACACAACGTTACTTGTGTCTCTCATGCACGGATCTACCATGACAAGTTCTCACACAACGTTACTTGTGTCTCTCATGCACGGATCTACCATGACAAGTTCTCACACAACGTTACTTGTGTCTCTCATGCACGGATCTACCATGACAAGTTCTCACACAACGTTACTTGTGTCTCTCATGCACGGATCTACCATGACAAGTTCTCGCACAACGTTACTTGTGTCTCTCATGCACGGATCTACCATGACAAGTTCTCGCACAACGTTACTTGTGTCTCTCATGCACGGATCTACCATGACAAGTTCTCGCACAACGTTACTTGTGTCTCTCATGCACGGATCTACCATGACAAGTTCTCGCACAACGTTACTTGTGTCTCTCATGCACGGATCTACCATGACAAGTTCTCACACAACGTTACTTGTGTCTCTCATGCACGGATCTACCATGACAAGTTCTCACACAACGTTACTTGTGTCTCTCATGCACGGATCTACCATGACAAGTTCTCACACAACGTTACTTGTGTCTCCCATGCACGGATCTACCATGACAAGTTCTCACACAACGTTACTTGTGTCTCTCATGCACGGATCTACCATGACAAGTTCTCACACAACGTTACTTGTGTCTCTCATGCACGGATCCACCATGACAAATTCTCGCCACTGAGAGATCCCCTGATCTTCATTAGCACTTATCAAAATATCTTGACGTCATTTCTTCTGTTGTTAAAGTGTTATATGTGTGAGGTGTGTCCATGCTATCATAACACCCTAGACATAGTTCGGCAGATAGTTGTTTACTTGGTTTACTTGTTCAGTCAGCTGCACAGCATAACATACAGTTAACAGATTCTCAATTTTGTTATTTCGGGTTACAACATCGATTACAGCGACAATAATGGGAATGTTTTTTCACAATAACCCCATTACTGCCTGCGGAGTGTGTGAATGAAGATTTAGTATCTCCAACACAAGTGTCTTGACCTTTAAAGCACTGACATGAGCGCTGTTTCAGCCAATCCTGTTTAGCTCTCATCACGTACTTCCATATATAGAAATTCATATTCGTCATGGTTTCCAAACACAAAATGAAAACAAAAATTGAAAAGTATATGTTAATTTCTCATATGGTCCATTTTCTCTCTTCATACACACAACAGCGTATTTAATCCTTATTTTCGTAAACACCCTTTTAAACAGTAAGATCAGTTAATTCCAAACAGGATCTATAGCAACTCCACAAATGCGTCTTTATTGTAAGGACGCTGTCACTAAAGCCTATTTAATTATTTTCCTTCTGTTATTTGTTCACATTAAAGCAGTGTATTTTGATGATTTTCCATCTATCATTATCTTCATTCCCATTCACGGTTGCAGTGTACATACACCGCATAACTCCCCACGCGGTGGTTTTCCTTCTATTGTATTATTTATTTAACCGATAAGGGTATATTCCTGCCATTGTTCCCTCTATCAGCACCATTCATTCCTCTTCAAGATCTTATCAATGGCAGGTAAAATGGCTCTGTTCTCATAGTTTCCTAAAAAATCTACTACAGATGATGATGACCTATTTTCACAACTTGTACCCACTCTCCAGTCGGTGGTTAAACGTTGTTTACTTTTCCATCAGATATATATTTAACTATACATTCTTTTCTCATTATATATATGTGTGTGTGTGTGTGGCTGTGTGTGTGTGTGTGTGTGTGTGCGTGCGTGCGTGCGTGCGCGCGCGTTTTGGGATGTGTGTGTGTGTGTGTGTGCAAAGAAGTAGATATGTTTATTCGAGAGATTACAGGCCCATAGTTCAGAATAGTTCAGGTTATAAAATGTAAAACTAGTTACTACTGAAGGGTACATGAATAACCCGTTTTCACAAGGACAGGTGTGTATGGTTAGGACTAACCACATTAACTGCGGACCCGTGAAGATCCGGGTTAGCATAGGTCTTCCGCAACCCATGCCTGCCGTACAAGACGACTATGACGACTATTTTAATCGTAAGTGGCGACTAACGGGATCGTCATCGTATCATACATCAATGGGTCCTATGGGTGAGTGAGTGAGTGAGTTGGGTTCAACGCTGCTTTTAACAGTATTCCAGTTATATCGCGGCATGTCAGCTTAATGTGTGAGGAAAGCCAGAAGTGATGCAGGTCTTAGACGTTTACCACTTCGGTGAAACCCATGACCTCTGGTATGGTGCTGACAAACCTAGAAACATAATCGGAGCGAACCAGGATTCGAACCCACAGAGGTCCTATGGGGGTTAACCAACCATTGTGCACTGGGATAGTTCACTCTTTGTTTGGTGGATGATTTTTGGACATCATCAAAACTTGAAACTTTGCAGACTTTGAGAAGCCTATTAAATACAATACTTTCCTTGCTTAAAGGCTGCAATTGAAATAATTACACAATGAAGCATTTATCTGCAGGCATTAAAGTGACTGAGTATTCTTTGATGAAAATTGACAATATCGGCTATCGCATGGTCATCAACTCCATTGCAACAGCCATCCATACGGACACTGTGTCCGATTTTGCTCTTTCATTTGCCAAAAGGTTTGGGCAGCTGAGTTTAAGAGGACAAGAGACAGTTTGGCAAGCCACAAAACAAAAGACTCGACATGTACAGAATACAGTGACTCTTTTATTATCCCACTGTGTCGGTCTACATGGTCCACATGTATTGTAACAGCGTCAACTGTATCTTCTCTTCCACAGCGTGGAGAAGCAGCTGATGAACCTACATGATGAAGCATGATGAAGCATGATGAAGCATGATACCGCCACTCTCCTCTGGATGATGCCATGCATTATATACAACTGTGGAGAGTGAGTGAGTGAACTGAAGGCTTAGCCCTGCTTTTAGCAAGGTTGCAGCCATAACTACCAATAAGCTGTGTTCAGTGTTAGAAATAGCTTCCTTCCAATGCTATGATTATCATAAGCTATCACCCATTCCATCCAAACTAGAACATTTTTTTAAATTTCTCACACAGCATTGACCACATATATAACTTCAAATTCAGAATACAACTGTTTACAATGATATATCATCAGTGTTGGAATTCTAGAAAATACATCTAACACAGCATCAGTAGTGTAATCAGGAGTCCCACATTGTACACTACAGCAATCCAAACATGTCTCCACTGACCATGCTCAGGATATACCCTCAGTTGCAGGCTAGCCAGTGAGTTTGGTTTAACATCGCTTTCAACAGTACTTCAGTTGCATCACGACATGTCTGCGTAGAGGAAAGACCCAAGTGATGCAAGTCTTAGACCACTTACCACTTCGGTAAAACCCACAAGCACATAGGAACAGGTTTGTAATGAAGAAACAAGAAACATTTGATTCAAACCAATGATCAGTATGCTAGTTATGTATGCTGTAGCATGACATTATTTCAGGGCTAATGGTCCCTCACAACATTGAAACGGCTGAGCTATTTCAAACACTGAGCAGCATGTGTTGTACCAGTAGGAAGCAATTGGCCTTGACAACCAGGCCTTGACAACCAGGCCATGACAACTGTTAGACTATGTGTTTATTGCACAAAGCCCTCTCACGACTTTCCATGTTGCTAGGCAACACTTAAATTCTTAATTTACAGGCCATCAACAAATGAAAAAATAAAACTGAATAAGATTAATTATTATCCCCTCTGATACATTTTTTGTATGGAAAAAATTAATTAAAAAAGAAAACTACCACATTTAACTGTCTTGTTAATAGTCCATATCTAATGAACAGTATCGTCTTTGGCCACTGCAACAAGTGACTAATGAAGTGAATATTTGTTAATCTAAACATCTTGCACTTTACACAGATTTAGCACTTATTTTCCCCTGCCAAACACACCCACCAACACATTGTTATCCAAATCCAAATATATAAAATAAGCTGATAACATATTAATTATTCAGATTCACATATGTATTTGTTAATCGAAATGATATATAACATAAACTAACAAGTGTAACCTAACTAAAGCAATGGGCCTGTTATTGTATGCTGATCTATTCCTCAGGTTAAATACACAGGGGTTAAATCACCTAAATAGAATGCAAACCCATAGAAAACCACTTGAAAAGATTCTTCTCAAATCAAAGTAATGTCTAATGAACATGGCCTTTGTTCTGCATGATATCTGAATCTGATGTCATGTGATAGTACAACAGGAATAATAATGGAATTTTCAAGTTTTCAATAACTTAATGTTGTTGAACAAACATATAGAACTCTTCTCCAACATTACATATTACACTGTTACATATAACACTGTTTGGGTAAAGTTGGAACAGTAACCTCAGCATCCTTAGACAGATCTGCTGATGGTTCTAGATGTGACCTTGAGCGAGTGCATGAACAAGGTCATCATTATCTCAACCTTATGATGGCAACGGACAAGGTGAGACTGTATCTGGTCAAGACAATGTGGACTTTTCCAACCAATGGCTATCACACCAGACAGTAATATCACAGATGTGGGCTAGTTGGGATGTTGACAATCCTCTCAGGGACCTTCACTGAGAGGCATTTGTCTTTATTGAAAGACAACACATACACCAATAGCCACTGGACAGATGGGGAATAAAATGAGTGCTTTAGAAGCTTTTCAAGCTTATTCATCTCCTCTTGAGATCATCACCAAGGCGCACATTTTCATTCAATCACATTTGTTACAAGAAAGTAACAAGAACAAGTCCAAGGTGACCATGACCTTTGTTACAGTAACAAGTGTCATGGTTTGGAAACTTTGACCTTCACTTCAACAGCAGCTGTGACCTTGAACTCGCCAGAATCCTCATCTTCATCATCATCTTCATCATCATCTTCAGCCTCTATGAAGTTGTACACGTTGCTACATGCTGCAAACAAACAAACATCATGTACATATTCCCATCAGAGGTAATAACCAACTCTCACTACAGTAATCATGAGAATGGAAGAACAGGCCTATCTATTTCACCATTACATTATTTCAAACTCTCATAATGTTGAATATTTGCTATCTGTGGCAATGAAAGAACTCACTTTACAAATACATTTATTCCCTCTAAAATTACATTGGTGCAACCTCTCAGCGCCAGGATAAAGAATAAGGTCGCTGTGGTACGACACTGCATTTAGGATAGCAACATGTGGTTCTTGAGGTCATCTGCTGTTGCTGCACTATCTACATCATCTGCTGTTGTTGCACTATCTACATCATCTGCTGTTGCTGCACTATCTACATCATCTGCTGTTGCTGCACTATCTACATCATCTGCTGTTGTTGCACTATCTACATCATCTGCTGTTGCTGCACTATCTACATCATCTGCTGTTGCTGCACTATCTACATCATCTGCTGTTGCTGCACTATCTACATCATCTGCTGTTGCTGCACTATCTACATCATCTGTTGTTGCTGCACTATCTACATCATCTGCTGTTGCTGCACTATCTACATCATCTGCTGTTGCTGCACTATCTACATCATCTGCTGTTCATGCAAAGTTACAGTCTAAATATAAGGCCATAATAAGTAAATTTTCAATTTTCAATTCACAAAACTCGAACGAACATTCTGCTTCATATAGTCTGATACTCTTGAAAGTAATTGCCATTATGGTCAAACCATGTTATAGGAAAGTGGCAAACTTGGGACTATGTTTGGTTAAATCTAGTTTCAAAAGAATTGGTAGTGGATGAAAATCTCACAATGAACTCATCATGGCCTCATGTTACAAAAGTAAGAACAATTGAAGTGTAACTTACAACTAACCTGAAAAGGCTTCTGGATGCATCTTTGACAACCTCTGCTTCAGCTTCCTACAACACAGCATCATAGCATGTTGTTTGTGTACAAATAAATACTCAATGTTCAAAACAAGTGTGCATGAAATACTCACCATGATCACACCCTATCAAAGCAGCATTGAAAATGTTAAATAAACACATTTTAATTTAAAAAAAAGAAAACTCTAAGCAAAACAAGAAATCAATAGTATGTAAGAAATGTAAATTCAAAGACTTCAGATGTATTTATATAAAGGCACCCTGTAAAATTTCAGGCTAGGTATTTCCCATACATGTTCCTTCCCTCGTGCTAACTGTGTTTGAAGGCACTGATAGCAATTCAAACTGTCACAAAGTATAATCAGAAGCAATCCTGAAGCCAAGGGCCAGTTTGTGACCTTGGAGAATAACTAAACATTAATGAAACACTAACAATATTATTTTTGTGTTCAACATGTTTTCAAAATTACAATAATCGCAATAACATGATGGAGTTCAGACCTTATCCTCCGGAAGACAATGTCCAAGTCTTTCTTCATGTCATACAACAACATGGTGTGTCTCTTGAACTCCTGACTTGTTGTTTCAAACCGACTGGAAGACAGCATGTTAAAGTTGATCAGCATCTCGTTAGTTTTCTCAAACCGAGACAACCTGGAATAAAAATATAGCATCATTATCTCATGGGTATGCTAGTCAGTAACTCTTCGGCCTTGGCCTCTACTCACAATCATGAGTCTTGTAAATTCTGTTTCTGTCTTTACTTACTTATATTAGGGGATTTTACGTGCGCTTTCCGACTGGAGCGTATTTCGCACACGGCTGTTTCTGTCTAGTAATCTCAGCTTAAAATAGACAGAAGGTAGGCGTTCATAGTCGGATAAAAATGTGACTATTAGCGACTTGTAGTGTAACTATGGTGATCTCACTCCACATCTAACACTAACATGAAGTTTTATAGTTATTGTCAATAAACAATATCTCACGTTACTAACTACCTGTCATGGTAGTCTTGTTGGTACCCAGGTGCTATTCAAGACCCACAAGACCCAAATACCTGAGTTACCCGTCCCAGCCCTAATTCATCGGGTTCAAATTTAGCAATTAATTAAAATACATACAAAGCATACATGCCTAATAATGATTTCAGATGCACAACAGTATTGTTTTCTTTATACTTAGTGACCTCAGGTCACTTTGACACCTTTAGCTTCTCAACTAGACACTATGCTTCTTCTCTACAAACAATCCTAAAGAATGGATACTAAAATGTCTACAACCGTGTTTGTATAATACTAAGTTCAGAAAGCTTGTGGCAGACTTCATGACCATAGACCCTATTCGTATTTTCTTGTCAAGTAACATGTTACACCAGGCAAGGCACACACATTTCAACTGAGTACAATGCCCATTTATAGCAGAACATACACAGCAAAGTAAGATTGTAAGTAAGATCTCGATTACTTTCGAGATTACCACTAGATTTAGACTAGATCTACTAGATCTTCAACGTTTTTTATCAAAATCAAAAATACGTTGTTTTTTTCCCCGAGATCTTTCTGGATAATTCATGGGTTTGATCCATGGGCCATGTACCGTACCCTGGAAATGTGTGTGTCTCCACACCCTCCTGTATACCGTGTACACTCTCTCGTTTCAGTCGTATGTAGTACCCGTTCTAGCACCAACCCTTCCAACACATTGACACCGCTCTGCATAATCACCATATAAATGTCAATGGTATCAATAATCGCGGAACAGCACAGACACATTCTAAACGTTGAGCAATCACAGTGAAACGTGTAGAAACATTTCATTTACATTTCTCTTTGATGTTGAACCATTGACGCTACATCGTCTCTCCTCACTTGTCCGACCAAGGCGTCAGCGAAGACCTCAGCACCTGATTCTGTTGACTCCTCCATTTCTTTGGCAGCCATTTTCACGCCATCAGAGTTATCTGCCCTTGGAAAGCAGAAAACTATGGAAACACGTTGATGCCAAACACTGCGCAAAGGAATCAAGCAAGAAGTCAATCAACAAAAGGAGACAATGCGTCAGTTCAACACCAGTCAGTAGTTTAATATATTGCAGCGTGTGTAACTAGAGGAGCGGTTAACTCATGAAGATTCGCGTAGAGAACAGGTCTTCAGCAACCCATGCTTGCCGTAAGAGGCGACTATTCTTGTCGTCAGAGGCGACTAACGGGATCGGATGGTTAGGCTCGCTGACTTGGTTAATGCATTTCATCGTATCCCGATTGCGTAGATTGATGCTCATCATGTCAATCGCTGGATTTTCCGGTCCAGACTTGATTATTTACAAACCGCCGTCGTGTAGCTAGAATATTGCTGAACGCGGTGTTACACAACAAACAAGCAAAACAAGAGGGGAGGTGGGGTAGCTTAGTGGTTGAAGCGTTCACTCTTCACGCCGAAGTTTTAAGGCTCGTGTTCGATTCCCCATATGGGTACATTGAGTGAAGCCCATTTCTGCTGTCCCCCGTCGTTATATTACTGGCTTATTAATATAGGCGACGTCAAATCATACTCACTCACTGAAACAAGATCAATGGTCTAGTCGCAGAGCGTCCGCCCGGAGAGCGGAAGTTCGGATGTTCGATCCCCGGCCGCGTGATACCAAATGTCGTTAAAGGATGGTACCTGTTGTTACGCTGCCTGGCGCTCGGCATTAAGGGGCTAAAACAAGGGCTGGACGACTTGGAGTCTGTAGGCTGTGTTCTCGGCATGGTATCGTGGTGGGCGAGCACTATGAAACTGGCATTAGTCAAGCAAACACACGCACGCACGCACGCACGCACGCAAGCACACACACACGTGCATATTAGTGCAATAATGTTGAACGCGACGACAAACCCAATTTCACCTCACCTCACCTCACCTCACCTCACCTCACCTCACCTCACCTCACCTCACCTCACCTCACCTCACCTCACCTCACCTCACCTCACTTCACCTCACTTTAACAAGACTGTAAATGGACACGGGACCGTTGTTCAAAGTCCACCTTTAGGTAATCTAAGACAATCAACTATACGTATAATTTCACTTGATGGTACAATGGCACAAAATTAGCTCAAAGGGAAGCGTGAGCTGGCAAAAGTAGTACCAAATACCTCAACATTCTCTGCGATTTATATCAATAAAGATTTCATACGATGAATAAAAATGCAAAATCTCAAGTCACTTATTTTTCTTGAAGATTAGATATGAAGATAAGACTTTCCACGCCGATATTCGTTTTTATTTTACTTTCATTTGAACATTAATGAAGACACGTACTATATGGTTCAGTAAAACTACGTGTCTATTTATGTATGTAGGATTGAATGTATACAGTTGTTGAAAGCCGTTCATGTGCTGAAAATACATATCGATTATGTATGATACAGTTCTCATTCAATATGGTTTGACTTGTTGGTGCATATTTCCGTTCTAGGCCCGGGAGTTTAATTAGTGCAATGGGTGAAAGTGTAATTTTGTCTATCGACAGGTAAAATAACTGTCTGTTAGGGTAACTCTGTCTATCTACAGGTACGGTAACTTTTTCTGTCTGCAGGTAATTTAATTCTGTCTACAGGTAAAGTAACTTTGTCTATCTACAGGTAAGGTAACCGTTACCTGCTAGATTCATTTGTATCTTGAAATCTTGGACGTCCTCCCTTCAGTCATCTCTTGGATGTAAATGCATGAATGAAGCTGATAATGCTAACATGGAGTAGGACGATAATGTATGGAGAAGATGAAAGAGAAACCCTGAAAACGTTACAATAAAAAGTAATGTTGGTAGGAGAAAGCAAATATTCAATCCCATGTGAATGTTGTGATGTATGTGAATTGTGGGTATTGGTTCGTGTTTGAGTGTATGGATGTTAGGTCACTTAACAATCACGTGATTATGTTGAATATGAGTGCTTACATAAAACATATTTTGTGTGTTACAATAACGCCTTGAATAGGACGGTCTTGTTTCCATTATATTTCTTTCTTACGTTTTCGTAAGTTACTGGTTTTGTTTTCGTCAGTCCGGTGGCTTTTTCGCCAGTCAGGGGTTTGACACTGCCGACAGCTTGCTCTCCCTTCACTAAGCATTAGTATGATACATTCCGGCAAAGTTATGAGCTTAATTGTAATGTTAATAGGATCGATTCTCTGCAAACAAATTACGTACAGTTTCAGTGAATATGCATATCTTACCATCTGGGTCAGACGAAAAACAACCTGGAAACAGAAACAGCTGTACAGTAAACTACGGTTATAACGAACTCAAAGGGACTACTAATTTTAGTTCGATATAACCGTAGTTCGTTATAAGTAGGTGTCCCCCGCTGTGATATTGCTGGAATATTGCTAAAAGCGGCGTAAAACAATACTCACTCAATCACGTTATAAGTACATAAACAGCATGACTACAGAAAGTAGTCGGGACCAAAAAGTAAGTTCGTTATATCCGTCAGTTCGTTATAAGCGTGTTCGTTATAACCGACTGCGTATAACTGTAGTTCAAGAATGTAGTTGTCATGAACAGTAATCGAGAGGCTGATATCAATGGAACACAAATCCGTAAGAGTGAGTGAGTGAGTGAGTGAGTGAGTATGGTTTTACGCCGCTTTTAGCAATATTCCAGCAATATCACGGCGGGGGACACCACAAATGGGCTTCACACATTGTACCCATGTCGGGAATCGAACCCGGGTCTTCGGCGTGACGAGCGAACGCTTTAACCACTAGGCTACCCGACCGCCCCTAAATCCGTAAGACAGGAAAGGGGTCCAAGTTTGTTTCTGACATATTGCATGTCTACGTAAGTGTAGACGGCCTTAACCCACACCCCTGTCACAGTGTACATTGGTATTGCATTCTTACGTCTCGACGTGTTGGCATGTCCCCAATACAACAAACGGTTGTATTTTTCATTCGACATAAATAGGATCAGGGATTAGGTTGCGCGTGCGTGCGTATGTGTGTATGTCCTTGCGTGCTTGTATGTGGGCTTTTTGGTATGTGTGTGCGTGCGTGTGGGTGTGTCTCAGTGTTTGCGTGTGTGTGTGTGTGCGTGCGTGAGGGCGTGCGTATGGACGTGTGTGTGCGCGCGTGTGTGTCTGTGTGTACGAACAAAACCCAAACACTGGCCTACAAAATGTCTTATCATCCTCAATATAGAGCTTATCTGATTCACAGTGCAAAAAGGTGCACATTTTTTTAATGTCAACATAGCGTGTGGGTTGCCTGTCATTGTGACTCTGATGCTAAAGGGTAATACTTCATAAGATTACCTCTGTTAGAAAAGAAGGAGAAGGATTCCTCTAATGTTGGCTGACATATCAGCATGTTGCTTGGCAACGGTATAAGGATCTATACCGAAACGTCGCATTTTACTGTATTAAAGAAGTTGTTATCCATAAATTGTGTCTACTTTGTCATCCATCAACTTCTAAGTAATGCCTATCAAACATTTAATTGACGGAGCTGATACGTCCTCATCATTTAAGTTTTCAAATTACTTGCATTGTTCAAGAAGCGGAAATGGTTCGATCAGCTTCATTTTGCCCTGACTTCTCACATGCTCTATGTATCTTTATTCCGTCATCAGACGTAAATATAGGGCCCGTTTCAGCATCTCTAACCTTGACCTCGTACTTACTGACACCGACTCCTGGTACAGCACCTGTCAGATCACACCACTGAGCTTAGTGAGTGAGTGAGGGAGTATGGTTTTACGCGGCTTTTAACAATATTCCATCAATATCACGGCGGGGGACACTTGAAATGGGCTTCACACATTGTACCCATGTTGGTAATCGAACATGGGTGAGCGAACGCGTAACCCCACCGCAACACACCCCACCCCTAGCAAGTCAATCACGTTAATTAATGTAATCCAAAAAGTAAATTAAATTCCAGGAGAGGTTGAGGGTGTCACTGGTGTCGCTGATTTTGCTTAATGGTTGGTTTGATTTGTTGTTTTACGCCGCACTCAGCAATATTCCAGCTATATGACGGCGGTCTGTAAATAATCGAGTCTGGACCAGACAATCCAGTGATTGACATCATGAACATCGATCCACGCAATTGGGATCGATGACATGCATCAACCAAGTCAGCGAGCCTGACCACCCGATCCCGTTAGTCGCCTTTTACGACAAGCAAAGTCGCCTTTTACGGCAAGCATGGGTTTCTGAAGACCTATTCTACCTCGGATCTTCACGGGTCGGTTGGTTTGTTGTTAACGCCGCGCTCAGCAATACTCCAGCTATACATGACGGCGGTCTGTAATCAATCGAGTCTGGACAAGACTGTGTGTGTGTGCGTTTTCAGTGACTTAAGTGTGAAGCTTAGCGGTGATCCTCACATTAATCAATTTTAGCAAAGCAGGTATCCATACATTTGTCATGTGATGTTTACATCAATGTCGTGAGGGTTTTAGCTTCGGTGCAATTATTTCACACTGATCGAAAGGTAGCGATTAAAACTCCCAAAGACTTCTTTTAAGTATAGGTAAAAACACACCTTCGAAGAAGGCATATTTTTAACGCAATTATTGTTTGGTTTTTCGACAAGACGTAATAACTATTATTAGATCAGCTCCTTGCAGCGCATTGCAGACAGGAAACATTCAGCAAGAAAGTAAACGATGCGCGGAGTTAAGTAGAGGAAATCAACTGTCTTTGTTTTCATGTGTTCATCCAAGGTATATATTCGTTATTAATTCACTGGCACTATTATCATATAATGCAAATGGTATATAAATTTGTTGGACGGACTGATTTATTGATTTATGGTGAAATATTCTTTTGATGTCAGCTGTTATCAGTGTCCCGTAACTATAATGACGTAATAACCCAGAAGACCCACGGAGTTAAATTTGACAAATGGAAATCCCACACGGCATTGATCTTTTATATTTGTATATGAGTCATATTCACGTTCACGAGGCGACCTCTGACACGGGAGATGTTGATATTTTGCATGTTTAGCCCATGTCAGTTCAGACGTGTGATATTGTTTAGGTGGTATCCTGAAGCGAATACAGCTGATAGGTTTACTTAGTAAGGAATGGAGGAAGCAGAACATTCGAGGTATTTACATATATATTTATATGTACATGTTTTGTTAGTATTACCCCGATAGGTATGGTATATATATTATTTATAATAAGTCACACATCAAGAAACAATTAGCTACATATGTATAAACGTCTCTGTGTCCAGTGGATCAAAGACGTGCATGTTTCTGGCCCCACAGCAAATGTTTGACTTCGATCTTCAGCGTGTCATACCCAAAAAAATATTTTAAAAGTTGTCAACTCAAGAGTCTGTAGCTGTGTCTGAATCATGTGAATGGGCTATTCATGTGAAGACTGTGGCATATGGTACCTCAGCAGGCTAGCACTATTACATAAATGGCAACAAAATTTGGGTTTGGTTGGTCAGGTTCTGAGACTGCTGATTGGGTGTCATTACACTCTGGAATTGTGGGATGTTGGTCACACTGGTTTGCCCAGCCTGAGGTGTCGTGAATGTTGCTGTGAAGAAGATGGATTTGGTTAGCATTAAAAAGTGAACACTCTATCCCCAATTGCATAGATCGATGCTCATGATGTCAATCACTGGTTTGTCTGGTCCAGACTCGATTATTTACAGACCCCCGTCATGTAGCTGAGTGCAGCATTAAACAACAACCAATCACCTAACCAACCAACCAACCAACTAAATCCCATCCACCCATCCACCCACTCACTCACTCACTCACTCACTCACACTGTTCTGTTTGCAGGGTCCGCTGGGTAGAGCGTAGGCAACAGCAGGGGAGGATGGAATGTGACCAGCTGGACTCGCTGGAGGGGTGGGTGGCTATCAAGGAGAGTCCATTCGCAGACCACCTGCTCCCCCCTCGTATGACATTCCTTGTGGCATGGAATGATGTAGAGAAAAAGGTGGCTATATCGTGTCGACTTCGGAGCCGTGTTGCTAGGGATACGGAAGACTGTAAGAGTCGGTCTGGATTGTTTACTTTCCAGGAACTGAAAGGAATCCATGAACTTTTCTGTTTAGTCCATCCTTCATTATGTTCCTTTCTTCCGGAACTACCTGAAATTCCTCAAGGGTTGTGGGCCTACGTGTATTATCAGGAAACCCCTGAAAACATTGACAAGCTCTGTGTCCAGCTAGAAGAGTATCTTGCTGTCGCCTTGGAAACTTGTAAAGAAAAGCTTCTGATGTCAACATTATTTGAAGAGCAGAATGCGGACGATTATTTCGAAAACATTAGTGAGTTCCGTCGTCAAGGTTACGACGAGCTTGTGCGAAATGCTGAAGAAGAGCTGAAGAATTTACAGTTTGAGCGTCAACAATGTGTGACAATGATAGAGATGAAGATGGTTTACGAACTTGAAGATGAAGCGATATTCAAACTTAACATCCATCTGGCTGAGCTGTACAACTATCAACTGCAGCCATTCCTTGACCTTCGAGAAGCTGCACTCACCAAGGTCAAGGAGGCTCGGATGCAGCTGCAGAATGTCAACATCGGTGATCGGGTCAAGAGAGAGTACGCTCAGATGTTCAGTGAATGGCAAGGACATTATGAACAAGCACTGAGCACAATTCAGGAAATCTATATCAAATATTATGAGAGAACAAGCAAAATATATGCAGGTTGGTGTTGTAACAGTTTTGTGTAACAGTTCATCAGTACAATGCTTCGACAGTTAACAATAAAAAACAGGCAGGACAGAGTAAGATTAGCATGACAGGTTCCTGTAGAGACATAATATGATTTGATTTTTTTGGAAATTAAATGCATTGGTGTTTCAAAATTGTTTGTGTAGCGGCCATAAAATTTCTGAATCCCATCAACCACGGACCTTCTGATCAGAAGTCTTGTCCACATGACCAAAGAGGTTAACCCCGTCAGCAAGCTGACAAGGTGAGGATGTCATCTGTGGGATGACTCTACGCCCTGGCACATATGCATTAGTTTTGTGTGTTCTTTTGTTTTAGATGTGGTATCATCAATGAACAGTGATAAAAAGCAGTTTGGAAAAAGTTCCTTTGATTTGATTGGAGCTGAAAGACTTTTGAGGTAAGTCAGGACTACAATTACATAAATGAACAGTTCTTAATCAGGTGAAAGTGGTAAGCTTAGTTCTGTTTGATTTGTCCAGCAGATGAAAACTGAACTTCGTAAACGTATCAACAAATAGTCATAACATTGTAGAAATTGTGTTGAGTAGTGGTATCATTATAGAAATTGTGTTGAGTTTTGAATGTTCAACAAATAGTCATAACATTGTAGAAATTGTGTTGAGTTTTGAAGTATCAACAAATACAGTGTAGTCATAACATTGAAGAAATTGTGTTGAGTTTTGAAGGTTCAACAAATAGTTGTATCATTGTAGAAATTGTGTTGAGTTTTGAATGTTCAACAAATAGTCATAACATTGTAGAAATTGTGTTGAGTTTTGAAGTATCAACAAATACAGTGTAGTCATAACATTGAAGAAATTGTGTTGAGTTTTGAAGGTTCAACAAATAGTTGTATCATTGTAGAAATTGTGTTGAGTTTTGAAGTATCAACAAATACAGTGTAGTCATAACATTGACGTAATTGTGTTGAGTTTTGAAGGTTCAACAAATAGTCATAACATTGTAGAAATTGTGTTGAGTTTTGAAGTATCAACAAATACAGTGTAGTCATAACATTGACGTAATTGTGTTGAGTTTTGAAGGTTCAACAAATAGTTGTATCATTGTAGAAATTGTGTTGAGTTTTGAAGGTTCAACAAATAGTTGTATCATTGTAGAAATTGAGTTGAGTTTTGAAGGTTCAACAAATAGTTGTATCATTGTAGAAATTGTGTTGAGATTTGAAGGTTCAACAAATAGTTGTATCATTGTAGAAATTGTGTTGAGTTTTGAAGGTTCAACAAATAGTTGTATCATTGTAGAAATTGTGTTGAGATTTGAAGGTCCAACAAATAGTTGTCTGGTGAGTAGTATCAGAGAAATAGCAGGCTGTGTGGCTTGATGTGTAGTCTGTGTTGCGCAGGGTTCAGGAGGATTTCTCGCTGGAGAAGCTGCAGCTGTTGCAGAACAGGAGGAAGCAGATGGTGCAGGAGCGAGACCAGGTGAAGGAACAGGTGAGTCCTCGCTGCTGCCTCATCCTCAACATCCCCTGGGGCAACTACATGGTCCCCAGGAACTTATGCTTGTCGTGAGAGTCGACTGGTGACATACGTGTTGTGGTCAGGCTCTGTGGCTGATTGTGGGTCATCATGACATTCACTCACAGCAACATTAGTCTGGTCATTCTGTAATTTAACCTCAACAGAATATTTTACGACTGTTTCCTTTTAATTGAATGTATTTGAGTTTGTATTAAAAAGTCTACCAAAATCAACCTTCGGGAAAATGGTTAATTCCCGCATCAAAAAAGATAAAAACCAACGAGGAGAATATGGCATCTACGGGCCGCCGTACATCAAGAAAGAGCTCGCAAAGGGAGATAATTCGTAGTGATCCTGCTGGTGCCTTGGAAAATATTTAGAAAAAAACAACGATAACAGAGCCGTATTATTTCATGGTAAGTTGACAAATACACATTTATTTAAAAATGTAATTAATAATGATGAAAATAATAGCAGTTGGCTTCCAATATACTTCTAACATGCCCATCAACCATAAATTGTGTAGCGTCGTCTGCTATGTAACTACGGCCGCACCAGCAGATAACATGTGTGCTAAACACGACCAATAACCAAATTCCTGTCTTTTATAAATTCATCCAACATTGTTACAATTATTAGAAACATAATTATGTGAAAAATTATATCGAAAAGTGGACCCTCCTTGATAAAATAAAAAATGTATGGAAGCCCATGAGTGACATGATGTATAATCATTTGCGTAATGCGTACGTAATTTGCAATTCATTAAATTCATTACATTTTACAACCAATCTTGACAATATTGATATCGGAATAAGTTACCTATTTCTAAAACACCCGATATTGACATTTCTTGTCTTGAGTGCATTTGTTTTACTGTTTAAAGTCACAAAATTAACTCTTTTAACCGGCTTGTAACTTTTTGTTTGTTTGGGAAATTGGTGAAAAACGGAACCAGGAAAATTCAGCAAATGCAGATGTAATTACTTGAAATATATAGGAATTTAAACAACTTAACTCTCTTTTGGCACGATGCTATAAGACATTTCTCTTCTTTCAGAATTACTGCTACCATTCTGGAACGGCATGATCTCAGACAACAGCGCCAGTGGATTCTGTCTCCGTTTCTTGACTTGAAACTAAATTTGTAGCAGGAGTAGACCAAATACTGTCCCCAAAGATTGTTTGGAATACAGCGAGGCACTTGTGTGTTTATTCGCCGAAGGCCCAGGTTCGATTCCCCACATGGGTGCAATGCATGAAGCCCATTTCTGGTGTCCCTCGGGGCAATCTCATTAAAATCAAATCTTTGTACTCGCTACCGCCAAACAAAGATCTGAGGACATCCCATTAAGGGTCGCGTCAGAACGACCTTTCATCCGACCAATCAGAGCGCTTACCAGATCATGAAAATGACAGTCGGAACGTGTTTTCTAATCATGCAACCACGAAATATTTGACACGGGGTATTCCGAACGACAGTTACGGGTTTTATGATTATATCCATACAATCTAGGCCATCTATAAGCCATTCCAGAGTGTTCTTCTCATCAGTTTTAATTTTTCTAATCGAGAATACGTCAAAATATGTTTTGAAGCGGAGTCGCCAGTTTGAAACAAGTGTCGTAAAGCTCGAGAAAGCTGCCTTCTGATTGGCTAATGTCGATTTCTTGTCAGTCATTTCATTGGTCGGTCAAACGTGATTCGTAATGGGATGTCCTCAGATCTTTGTTTAGCTACAGATCTTTTTTTAGCGGCAGCGAGAACTAAGATCTGATTTTAATGAGATTGCTCTCGGGGGCACGTGTGGCCCAATCGTCTGAGGCGCCGCGATTCGCTGTGCAGAGTTGCGTCCCTTGGGCACCCCAGAAACCTATGATTGTGGGTTCGAATCCCGGTTCGCCCCGATTACGTTTCTAGGTTTGTCAGCACCATACCCGTGCTCGTGGGTTTCACCGAAGAGGTAACTGTCTAAGACCTGCATCACTTCAGGCTTTCCTTCCGCATTAAGCTGACACACCGTGATATAACTTGAATAATGTCAAAAGCGGCGTCAACCCAACTCACTCACTCAGGTGTCCCCCGCCTTGATATAACTGGAATATTGCTAAAAGCGGCGTAAAACCATACTCACTCACTCACTCACTCACTCACTTGAGCGATTGCCATATTGCTATGCTATGCAATAGTCTATGATTATCTTGTACTTATACTCAAATTGAATAGATTCGCTCACTAAAATAAATGAATCTATAGTCAGTATAGCCTGTGTTCACTCAGCGTATCAGCGACAGTAATAGATAACCGGCTGACATGAGTTTCGCCGGGGCCCCTTTCCCCAGAATAGACTATAGTCGGCCAACAACCCATGCGTTACCAAGTTCCAGTTCTTTATGATATTAACATATTTATTTCAATAAAGTGGAGGGATTGGCAAACAAGCAAATTTTACTTACCTGAATGCCTCTCCCAAACATGATACACATACAAATTACAATGTATTAAAGTGATATGAGAAATAGCATACATGATATAATTGACATTAAAGATGATTATTGTTCTGTAAGTGTTTTATTACTGGATTATCTTTCAAAACTACAGCTACGTTATATTATCTACATCTAGCACAACAAAATCACAGTATCATATATACTTACCGTAAAAGGCGACTGTGCTTGTCGTTAAAGGCGACTACTAACAGGATCGGGTGGTCAGACTCGCTGACTTGGTTGATGCATGTCATCGATCCCAATTGCGTGGATCGCTGCTCATGATGTCAATCACTGGATTGTCTGGTCCAGACTCGATTATTTACTGGTCGCCATCATATAGCTGCAATATTGCTGAGTGCGGCATTATACAACAACAACAAAATTTAACTTCTGAAATATGCAACCAATATACTTACTTAAACGAATGAGTGTTCAACTATCAGTTGTTGTGAATAAGCATCGGAGTTTATAAAAGTTGGGATTTATACGACGATAGTTCGGTAATAATCTCTTTCAAATCTAAAACAAGTATACTGGAACATATGATATTCATTTCCCCTTGTACTCGAGTCACAATTCGGGCAGAGTCTCCATCCAAGGAACATTCTGCCACGACCCGTTTTCTACGGACAAAATAGTATTACTTGTACGAAATCGTAAAACTTGTATTGAAGGACACTTGACTTATCAAAATCATCCATTGTATTTGGAATTATATAAACGTCAAAACTTGCATCCAAATAACATAAAATAGCAAATATTTCAGTCGGAGGCCTGGAAGCTTGCTCATTGTTACCTCAGACTGTCACTGGCTACAATTATTAATGGCTATGTATGACTGCCCCCCCCCCCCCCACACACACACACACAATTAGGTGATTTCTTTTACGATTAGTACATCAAGTTCTTAAAATGATATATGAATGTGATTTTCTTACATTTGAATATAATATGTATGACTTCATTCCAATATTTGAAAATCTATGGCAACATTTAACTTCTCGGCCACTCTTCATATATGTCCTCTATTTGACCTTGAACTATTATAATGAATTAAATTGTCCCTGTAATATTTTTTATAAAGTAAATAAAAGTTGTCTACCCAGATTGTTCTTTAATTTAGTTATATTAGAAAGAAAACTACAATAAATTTGAATCTCTTCCTTCCTACAAATATCCAAGAATACGAAAATACGAATTATATAGGCCTATATCTTGTGACCTTGAGAAAGGTCATTCCCATGAGTTGATTTTGGTAGACTTTTTTCCCCTGAAAGCTGACATGCTACCAAATAACATAAAGTATGAATTAATTCTGTTGCAATTTTCTTGAGGTTGGCCATTTATTTCGACCAAAATGACCAGACTACATCTGTTGTCACCACATGGATAAAACTGGCAATAATAGTATCAGTAGCATTGTGAACTGAGATAGAAAGCGAACTCCAAATTGGTTCTACAGCCCTCTGTGTTAGTACTTGTTGTCTGTTTTGTCAGATTGTGAGTCTGTATTGTCAGATTGTCTGTCTGTATTGTCAGATTGCCTGTCTGTATTGTCAGATTGCCTGTCTGTATTGTCAGATTGCCGGTCTTTATTGTCAGATCGCCTGTCTGTATTGTCAGATTGCCTGTCTGTATTGTCAGATCGCCTGTCTGTATTGTCAGCTTGTCTGTCTGTATTGTCAGCTTGCCTGTCTGTATTGTCAGATTGCCTGTATGTATTGTCAGATTGCCTGTCTGTATTGTCAGATTGCCTGTCTGTATTGTCAGATTGCCTGTATGTATTGTCAGATTGCCTGTCTGTATTGTGAGATTGCCTGTGTGTATTGTCAGATTGCCTGTCTGTATTGTCAGATTGCCGGTCTTTATTGTCAGATCGCCTGTCTGTATTGTCAGATTGCCTGTCTGTATTGTCAGATCGCCTGTCTGTATTGTCAGCTTGTCTGTCTGTATTGTCAGCTTGCCTGTCTGTATTGTCAGATTGCCGGTCTTTATTGTCAGATCGCCTGTCTGTATTGTCAGATTGCCTGTCTGTATTGTCAGATCGCCTGTCTGTATTGTCAGCTTGTCTGTCTGTATTGTCAGCTTGCCTGTCTGTATTGTCAGATTGCCTGTATGTATTGTCAGATTGCCTGTCTGTATTGTCAGATTGCCTGTGTGTATTGTGAGATTGCCTGTGTGTATTGTCAGATTGCCTGTATGTATTGTTAAATTGCCTGTCTGTATTGTCAGATTGCCTGTGTGTATTGTCAGATCGCCTGTGTGTATTGTCAGATCGCCTGTCTGTATTGTCAGATTGCCTGTCTGTATTGTCAGATTGCCTGTATGTATTGTTAAATTGCCTGTCTGTATTGTCAGCTTGTCTGTCTGTATTGTCAGCTTGCCTGTCTGTATTGTCAGATTGCCTGTATGTATTGTCAGATTGCCTGTCTGTATTGTGAGATTGCCTGTGTGTATTGTCAGATTGCCTGTCTGTATTGTCAGATTGCCTGTATGTATTGTTAAATTGCCTGTCTGTATTGTCAGATTGCCTGTGTGTATTGTCAGATCGCCTGTGTGTATTGTCAGATCGCCTGTCTGTATTGTCAGATTGCCTGTCTGTATTGTCAGCTTGCCTGTCTGTATTGTCAGATCGCCTGTCTGTATTGTCAGATTGCCTGTATTTATTGTTAGATTGCCTGTCTGTATTGTCAGATTGCCTGTCTATATTGTGAGATTGCCTGTCTGTATTGTCAGATCGCCTGTCTGAATTGTCAGATTGCCTGTCTGTATTGTCAGATCGCCTGTCTGTATTGTCAGATTGCGAGTCTGTATTGTCAGATTGCGAGTCTGTATTGTCCGATTGCGAGTCTGTATTGTCAGATTGTGAGTCTGTATTGTCAGCTTGCCTGTCTGTGTTGTCAGATTGCGAGTGTGGAGGAGTCGCCGCGGGCGCTGCAGCAGGTGGAACGGCTGGAGCGGCAGGTGATGGAGTGGCAGGAGAAGGTGTTCAGCATCCAGATGCAGGTCCTGGAGGAGGAGGAGGCTCTCCTTATGACGCAGATGGCTGCAAGGACTCGTCAGATTGCAGGTAAAAGGACCAGTAGTAAGAGCAATAACATAATTATGCAGAATATTTTTTATCCTAAAGTAGGTTTTCATCTCTTGCACATTTGATAAATACAATAGTTCTCCTAATGTTCTACTTGTTACATCATCTCTGTGCCTCAGCTGCTGAGCAGGAGCAGGTGTTTTACGACGCGGTGGAGGACGCGAGCCTCATCGACCCCTCCCTGTACAGCCCCGAGGACATCATGGAAGAGACAATCCACGGAAAGATTGATCCCTCCATACTGCAACTGAAGGCAAAAAGGGCGGACATACAGAAACGCAGGACAAACCTACGTAGACGGAAGGTGAAGCATTGTTACTGCACCCATGTGTTGCATGTTGCTTGTGACACTGAGTACATCCTGGCAATGTCATTGTCACCTGGAAATGTCATCCTGGCAATGTCATTGTCACCTGGAAATGTCATCCTGGAAATGTCATCCTGGCAAGGTCATTGTCACCCTGGCAATATTGGGTTCAGCCACACAGTAGTTCTTGCAAGTTCCTTCCAAATATAATACAACAGATGTAATATTCATTACTTATCCTCAGAAATGTTTTTTATTTGTTTCCATGATATTTCTAGGAGAATTTGCTGTAGGTGGATGAAGCATGTTTCATATCACACTAGGGTAGGGCTTGGACTGTGAGGTTTGGAGAGACCTTTTGGTTGTAAGTTAGGTGTGCTTGTTCAGTCCCCAAGGTAGTCCTGCACGATGACTGTTGAATAGATGTATTTTATGAAAACAAAACTAGATTTATGTAAAAAGAAAATCTAGCCAGTTCTATCCGGCTCTGTTCCACAGCTCTGTCATCTTGGGGAGAGGAGCAGTTGAAATAGTGACTGGTATTTTAGTCAGCATCAGGAAAATTATTTGTTTTCATTTTAGAAGAGAGAAATGTATTTTGTAATAAAAGCTTTCATAGACTATGTGTTAGTCTAGTCCCAGAGGGCGACGATGATGATGATGATGATGTCTGACATCCTTCTGCAAAGCAACTAACTACTATCTAGAAACATCCTTGACCAATTACTGAGGTTGCTAGTCCATCAGAACAAATAGTTCTTCAAAGGCATAGAGGCAAATGTTATTTCTTACACTGATCTGAACTGGTGTTGCAGGCAGCAGTGGAGGCCCAGAGGAACAAGAAGTTGAATCACCAGAAGGAGACAGTGGACAAACTCAAGCACCACCATGGACCACAGATGGTGAGTCAAATGTCGACCCTGTAGATAGTGAGTCACCTGTCCGTCCTGTAGATAGTAAGTCACCTGTCCGTCCTGTAGGGGCCTGTACATCCTGTAGATAGTAAGTCACCTGTTCGTCCTGGAGATAGTGAGTCCCCTGTCCATCCTGTAGGGGCCTGTCCGGCCTGTAGATAGTAAGTCACCTGTCCGTCCTGGAGATAGTGAGTCACCTGTCTGTCCTGGAGATAGTGAGTCACCTGTCCATCCTGTAGGGGCCTGTCCGTCCTGTAGATAGTAAGTCACCTGTCCGTCCTGGAGATAGTGAGTCACCTGTCCATCCTGTAGGGGCCTGTCCGTCCTGTAGATAGTAAGTCACCTGTCCGTCCTGGAGATAGTGAGTCACCTGTCCATCCTGTAGGGGCCTGTCCGTCCTGTAGATAGTAAGTCACCTGTCCGTCCTGGAGATAGTGAGTCACCTGTCCATCCTGTAGGGGCCTGTCCGTCCTGTAGATAGTAAGTCACCTGTCCGTCCTGGAGATAGTGAGTCACCTGTCCATCCTGGAGATAGTGAGTCACCTGTCCATCCTGTAGGGGCCTGTCCGTCCTGTAGATAGTGAGTCACCTGTCTGTCCTGGAGATAGTGAGTCACCTGTCCATCCTGTAGGGGCCTGTCCGTCCTGTAGATAGTAAGTCACCTGTCCATCCTGGAGATAGTGAGTCCCCTGTCCGTCCTGGAGATAGTGAGTCCCCTGTCCATCCTGTAGGGGCCTGTCCATCCTGTAGATAGTAAGTCACCTGTTCGTCCTGGAGATAGTGAGTCCCCTGTCCATCCTGTAGGGGCCTGTCCGTCCTGTAGATAGTAAGTCATCTGTCCGTCCTGGAGATAGTGAGTCCCCTGTCCATCCTGTAGGGGCCTGTCCGTCCTGTAGATAGTAAGTCACCTGTCCATCCTGGAGATAGTGTGTCTCCTGTCTGTCATGTAGATAGTGAGTCACCTGTCTATCCTGTAGGGGCCAGTCCTTCCTGTAGGGGCCTGTCCATCCTGTAGATAGTGACTCACCTGTCTATCCTGTAGGGACAGGTCCGTCCTGTAGGGGCCTTTCCATCCTGTAGATAGTTAGTCACCTGTCTGTCCTGTAGATAGTGAGTCACCTGTCCATCCTGTAGGGGTCTGTCCATCCTGTAGATAGTGACTCACCTGTCTATCCTGTAGGGACCTGTCCGTCCTGTAGGGGTCTGTCCATCCTGTAGATAGTGAGTCACCTGTCCATCCTGTAGGGGTCTGTCCATCCTGTAGATAGTGAGTCACCTGTCCATCCTGTAGGGGCCTGTCCATCCTGTAGATAGTTAGTCACCTGTCCGTCCTGTAGGTAGTGAGTCACCTGTCTATCCTGTAGATAGTGAGTCACCTGTCCGTCCTGTAGATAGTGTGTCACCTGTCTGTCCTGTAGATAGTGAGTCACCTGTCTATCCTGTAGATAGTTAGTCACCTGTCCGTCCTGTAGGTAGTGAGTCACCTGTCTATCCTGTTGATAGTGAGTCACCTGTCCATCCTGTAGATAGTGAGTCACCTGTCTGTCCTGTAGATAGTGAGTCACCTGTCTATCCTGTAGGGGCCTGTCCGTCCTGTAGATAGTGACTCACCTGTCCATCCTGTAGGGGCCTGTCCGTCCTGTATGGGCCTGTCCATCCTGGAGATAGTGTGTCACCTGTCCATCTTGTAGATAGTGAGTCACCTGTCTATCCTGTAGGGGTCTGTCCATCCTGTAAATAGTGAGTCACCTGTCTATCCTGTAGATAGTGAGTCACCTGTCCATCCTGTAGGGGTCTGTCCATCCTGTAGATAGTGAGTCACCTGTCCATCCTGTAGATAGTGAGTCACCTGTCTGTCCTGTAGATAGTGAGTCACCTGTCCATCCTGTAGATAGTGAGTCACCTGTCTGTCCTGTAGATAGTGAGTCACCTGTCCATCCTGTAGATAGTGAGTCACCTGTCCATCCTGTAGATAGTGAGTCACCTGTCCATCCTGTAGGGGTCTGTCCATCCTGTAGATAGTGAGTCACCTGTCCATCCTGTAGATAGTGAGTCACCTGTCTGTCCTGTAGATAGTGAGTCACCTGTCCATCCTGTAGATAGTGAGTCACCTGTCCATCCTGTAGGGGTCTGTCCATCCTGTAGATAGTGAGTCACCTGTCCATCCTGTAGGGGTCTGTCCATCCTGTAGATAGTGAGTCACCTGTCCATCCTGTAGATAGTGAGTCACCTGTCCATCCTGTAGGGGTCTGTCCATCCTGTAGATAGTGAGTCACCTGTCCATCCTGTAGATAGTGAGTCACCTGTCCATCCTGTAGGGGTCTGTCCATCCTGTAGATAGTGAGTCACCGGTCCGTCCTGTAGATAGTGAGTCACCTGTCCGTCCTGTAGGGGTCTGTCCATCCTGTAGATAGTGAGTCACCTGTCCATCCTGTAGATAGTGAGTCACCTGTCCATCCTGTAGGGGTCTGTCCATCCTGTAGATAGTGAGTCACCTGTCCATCCTGTAGGGGTCTGTCCATCCTGTAGATAGTGAGTCACCTGTCCATCCTGTAGGGGTCTGTCCATCCTGTAGATAGTGAGTCACCTGTCCATCCTGTAGGGGTCTGTCCATCCTGTAGATAGTGAGTCACCTGTCCATCCTGTAGATAGTGAGTCACTGGTCCATCCTGTAGATAGTGTGTCACCTGTCCATCCTGTAGGGGTCTGTCCATCCTGTAGATAGTGAGTCACCTGTCCATCCTGTAGATAGTGAGTCACCTGTCCATCCTGTAGATAGTGAGTCACCTGTCCATCCTGTAGATAGTGAGTCCCCGGTCCGTCCTGTAGACACGTCAGTCCACCAAAAGACTCACTCATTTTTTTCGGCAGACCGTGAGTCTTTTGGCATGCGGTTAGTCTTGTGTGGAGTTGTGAGTCTTCTTGTACACGGTGAGTCTTTTGGTGGACTGACGTGTCTCTTCTGGCATACTGAACCTTCTGGTTCACTGAGTCTTATGTGCCTCATGCCTGTGAAACATTCTCTTGGGTTTCATTTGGTAACTGCATTACTTTGGTTGCTCCATCCTAAAACTGCCGGATTGTGTTTTAGCTGGAATACTGTCTACCTCTGTGTTAACGCCAACTCACACGAAATGATTGAATTAAGAAAGAAAGGAAATATTCCTAGACTGAGGACTATTGTCAGTATTTGTATTCAAATGTGGGGGAAATATTTCAGAAACGAGACCAGAGGAAAGATGAAGAAGACAGAAAGACAGATTTTATTCAAGAAGAAAGAAAGAAAACAATTGATAGACTCAAATCCCACAAAGTCGTGAGTCAAAATAGTTTTCACGAATACATATTTATTGAAAACTCTAAACATGATTCTAATTTATCATTATTAGTTATCTAATGACGCTCAGAGCAATTTATTTGTTTTATCAACTTGGTGTATAAGTACAGCAAAAGCACTTTTTAATTCCATTAACATGATTAACAGGAAATACTAATATTTTATTTTTGTAGAATTTCTGATTGTATTAAGAGGGTCCACATGTTCTAATTAAAACTGTAACCAAGGTATCAAATACATGTGACATGCTTCCAGATGAATACCAATTAAATATACATAATAGATAGAGGACGAGTGCCAGTACTTTATCGGAATATTAACTATGTAGTGTCACAAGTTCTCTATCTATCTTAGAGCACAGCAAATGCTTGAGTTCCAGGAACTATACAATGCAGATCCACCAACTCAACCATTTACATCTGAAGCAGATTGCACGATTTTTATACAGATTGTATGGTTTGTGCAGTCAGGAGTTTGTTGTTTAGGGCATGCTGAAATGTTGAAGTTTCACGAAGCACGAGAGTTTCACGCCTTTATAAGCTGTATACTTTCCACTACTTTAACAGCATATATATATGAACTCCACCGGACCAAAATAGTGACCACCCACTGGACGAAAGTATTTGCCTGTGTTCTTAATGTGTGTAAGTGTTATTTCCTCTAGTGCCATAATATCAAACCTGTGACTTGCTTCCAGAAATACCCGACACCTGCCACGATCAAGCCACCACGATACCAACCACCAAGTCAGAGGAAAGGATCTTTATGCGGTAACAATATGTCCTCCCTCCAAGTAAGGTCAAAGGGAGGCAACTCCCTCGCCAGTTATAAAGGCTCTGCTCGACCAACACCCCGTGAGAGGAAGAAATTTGTGAGGCCCGCGGTTGCCAAGGACACCACTGACTCAGGTGTCACAATCTTCGTTAATGGCCAGACTCTAACAGGATCCATGTTGGAAGGAGACGATACAACCATGTCGGTGCCACCTCCAAGTAGCAATCCACCTACAAGTGGTCCTCCACCCCCACCACCTGGTGGCCCCCCACCGCCTCCGCCCCCGCCCCCACCCCCACCCCCACCCCTGCTCCCGACAGGTGCCCCTCCCCCACTCGCTGATGCTGGGTCGCAGGGGTCGTCTCCCTTTGGTAACCTGGAGGAAGCACGGAACAGACTGAAGAAGTCGTCTGCCACGGAGGAGAATACGTCTGACCAGTCATCGGGGGGACCCCCCTCAGTGCAGTCCCTTTTGGCTGGCAAGAATAAGCTAAAGCCTTTGGTGGAGAGACCAGAGACACCACGGTCAGGTCAGTAACAGTTCAACAGGATCAGATGCACAAAATCTGTTTCATATCATCACCATCCTCAAACCAAGACTTAAAAATTTAAGGATAAATCCAACTCAAGTCTGGAATGATTTAGAAAGTCTTGATTGCCTTAGCTATCGGATATTAAGCATTGCTTTTGGCTCCACTTGTTATATATTTTTTCATTTCGTAAATGTATATTTTAAAATAACATAACTTTATTTCTGGCTCTAAATGTTAGTCTGTCAACTCTTACGGATTCATTCACATGTCCAGCCTTCGTGAGAAATATATGGAACAAAAAAAGTTGGGATTATGAATAGTTTTGGGGAACCTTTATGAAAGTGTGCTCAGTCTTCACTACAAAAATATATCCCAAAACATATTCATGATCCCGAACTTATTTTGTTCAGCATATAAGTAAAGGCAGTAATTACCTCAATCTCGCCACAACAAGTTGGTGTAGAACTGCTATAACACACTCACTCTAATAGTTGGGTTGTGATGTGAATTTGTGGTGTTGATTACATCTTCCCGAGGCAAAGGAGTTAACTGACTATCAAAGTACAGTTTCCACCCTTGCCGAACTAGGCTGAAATGTCTGGGCTTGATAATAGCGTCACCATTAGGAGTTATGTCCCTTCTATGGACCTCCTTGTGACCAATCATATTGCACCTCTCAGATCACTTGCATTTTCTTCCAACAAAATGGCGGCACCCAGTCAAAATCTATATTGTGATAAAATGGTCTTTACTTTTGGGAAGTGCATCAAATCAGGTGATCACTTTGAATGTTGATTCTGTTATGTAAATTTGATTGGACTCTGCATAGACTTGTTAGGGCAGCCAAAATATTACTCCATCATTCCAGGATGGAAACTGGACTTTCATAGTCAGTTAACTCCCTTGCCTCAGGAAGATGTGTTGATTAGTGACAATGTCCTCTGTACCAGTCAATAGCATCATTCACTCACAGCCATCGTCTCCTTGACAGATCCACTGGGAGACATATTTGGCATGATCAAGAAGGGCATTAAGCTTCGGCCGGTGCGGCGTGGGGAGGGGGAGGACATGCCGTCTCTGGTCAACCGACCCCCAAGTGAAGACCATCTGCAGATGCTGAAGAACAGACTAACCAAGATCAACCAGATGACCCATGGCAGTTCGCCGGAGAGAGACGACAGCGATGACAACAGCTTTGACGACTAACTGCCAATTGTTTTTTATGAATGATATTTGTTTTTAAGACAGGTATTTCATTGTCACATCACCAAAATGAGAAATTATTATTTCAACATAGACTGGAATCATTGTGTCACAAATGTTATTGTTTTGTGTTGTCTTGTTTACTTTAATTGTGATAGTAATTTGTATATATCCACATAATGCCGGTTTTAGGTACATGTACCACAGTCAGTTATTGTTAGATATCATGTAATGTCGCCTATTTATTATGGTTTTGTCGTGCGTAGTTTCCAATGTTCTTACAAGCCTTTCATGTCACTTGATTTTCCGAATATGTATATGCCCTAACCATATTGTTGTGTTGAAGCATGGTATGTAGGATGGAAGATGATAATGAGCATTTCTGAGAGAAACGTATCCCTCCCTCATCTGTGTTCAGTTGCTGAAATTTGTCACCAGATTGCGGTAAAAGAATAAATATTGTTCTGAAGAGCTGGACTGTGTCCCCAGTTATGAAACGTTGGTCAGTTGATCCATAGATCATGAAAAATGAGTATTGTTTTATGCCTCTTTTAGCAACTTCCCAGCAATGTCACGGCGGGGACGCCAAAATGGGCTTCACACATTGTACCCATGTAGGGAATCGAACCCGGGTCTTCGGCGTGAAAGTGGACGCTTTAACCACCAGGCTACCCCATCATCCCTATTAAATGAAAAACAAACACCGTGTTAGTTTCTACACTGAAGTGGGGCGGTCAGGTAGCCTTGTGGTTAAAGTGTTCGCTCGTCACGCCGAAGACCCGGGTTCGAATCCCAACATGGGTACAATGTGTGAAGCCAATTTCTGGTGTCCCCCCCGTGATATTGCTGGAATATTGCTAAAAGCGGCATAAAACCATACTCACACACTCACTACACTGAAGTGTAAGTGGCTTGCTTCACTTAGGTTTTGCATTACAGAAAGGACTGGGTGGAAGGGAAAGTAATGTGGTTCAGGGACTGCAAGGCAGACTGAGTTCCGCAAGTTCTTTTTCATCACTTCACTGTAGAATTATTTAAGCAGAGTTTGGACTACTGTACACATTTAATAAGCCCCCAAGTTATGAAGACCACCTGATGGTTCAACTGGCCAGAACACTGTTGCATAAACTGCTAAAACATCTCACTGATCAACACACAATATACCATATAATGTATTGAATGTATTTATTCTTGAATAAATAGTTCATCAGGTTTCATATATGTGTATGTTAGTGTTTTTGTCATCTCTCTGCTGCATATATGTTTTCATGCTACAAGATGACACTATGTGAGGCAGTTTAGTGATCACTGGAGTATAATTCCAGGCAAGTACCCACATCAAGAAACTTCAAACAGTTCCCATTCAAATCAGATCTTCCTTTCCATTCTACCTCGTTGAGTGAAGTGTGTGAAAGGTCACCTGATGCAAGCTATAGAGGGGTTGGCTCTTCTTCAGTCAGACAGGTTTCGTATTGGAGTAATAGATCTGATTTTACGGAGATTTAAAAACAATTTTGTGTGCTGTAGCCAACACCAGATTAATACAATTGATGACATCGTTGTGGTGTCTTTCGAATATCGGTAGCTAGCTGTTATCAGTTTTTCTTATCAGGCAGGTGTTTTTTGTATATATGTATGTGTGTGTATGAATTAGCTGTCAACTCAAGAAACGCCACTCCCTTATAGTGTCAACTGCTGGTCTCATTCTGGGCTTCTATTATCAAGAAAAAAGTTTGATGAATGTGTGAATGAATAATAATGATAAAACAAATAACTAGCATTCCAAATAGTCAGTACAAATAATGTTATGTCCCATTGTCACCTACACACCCAAACGGTGCTCCTCTCATGAACTTCATGCATAGTGATATCTGTATGGATTATTCCATAGTGCTAATTTAGAAAGAATTGAGTTGCAAGGTGTGTTCAATGATCAAATATTTTTTATTTCCATCCGACCCACATTTTCACCCCTCCTCCACCACTACTGCTAGCCATGAGACAGTGTGGGGGGGGGACAAGCTGAACAGAGATTAATGATCCGTCAGTCGAAAGGGGTTAACCTAAGCCATTTTCCATGACACTTCTGCTAAGCCTTTGAAGACTTCTGTTTGTTACAAGTTTCAAGTTTGGGGCAGCAGATAGCCTGGTGTTGAAGGTGAGGTGAAATTGGGTTTAACGTCGCGTCCAAGATTATTGCACTTATATAGCGACGTGCATGCACGTGTGTGTGTGTGTGGCTGCTTGTACTAGTCCGGACTGATGCTGATTTATAGTGCTAGCTCACTGAGATACCATGCCGCAGTTTAACATGAATACCCCACTCAGACACAGTATACTGACTCCGAGCTGACCAGTCCTTGTTTTAGCCCCTTAATGCCGAGCGCCAGACAGGGTAACAACAAGTACAATCTTTTAATGTCTTTTTGTATGACGCGGCCCGGGATCGAACCCTGGACCTTCCGCTCTCCGGGCGGACGCTCTACCACAAGACCACGGAGGCGGTCCTGGTGTTGAAGTGTTGGCTTGATGATTGTTTGTTGTTGAACGCCGCACTCAGCAATATTCCAGCTATATGCCGGCAGTCTGTAAACATTCAAGTCTGGCTTGAAATGTCGTAGACAAGGGTTTGAATCCCCATTTGGATTGGATAAAATTCATCCAAGAATGGTGTCCCTGTCAGCTTATGTCCCAAATAGTGCCAAAACCAGCATACACATAAACCCAAGCATCAGTTAGACCGCAAGACAAGTATTTGACTGTCACTGTTGCTGCGCTTGTGTTTCTTATCTAAACACACATCCCTGCTGGCTAGGACCAGAATCTTAGTAAGGTAGGTTACAATACACTAATACAGTATGAGACCAGAACACTTAACAGCTGACAAAGTATTTGTTTGTTTTTGTGACACTGCGCACACATGCACGCACGCAGACACACCCACAGTGATCAATATTGAGAGCAACACTCTCACAACCTAGTCACAAAGTCTTGACAGCCTGATCCATGGGTTTCCTCTTTACTCATTCTAACCAAGACATTAAGGAAACATTTCTGTATCAAAAGGAAGTCAATAGTAGCACAAAAAAACATTATGTGCTTGATTTAGTAATAGAAACAGTGGAGAGGAGACAACTTATCTTAATCCCAGCTGAAGCAAAACAGACAAAATTGATGTTTACAATGTTTAATGGAGACAGACGATGCTACAATTATCAACATCTGATTTCCATCCTCCTTTTTCTGTTGATGTTCAGCACATTCCACTTCCTTGGACCCCAAGCTTTCTTCTCCCAAGGCAAGTGATAATAGTTCTGCAACAGAGACAAATGTTGTGAAAAAAACATTTTCATGTGAAAAATGGTACCCATAATGTGACATTGTGGACAGCATCTTTCTACCACTCTCATCATTATTACAGCCCTATCAAGAAGGTCTTTAAATTCTGCAAGATGTCAGCCTACTTAGCGTTCGTCGGTCTTGCAAGTATCCAAACGAGAGTAGTCAGTGAGGCAGATGGATGGCCCTTTTACAGTCAATACTCCAGCTCTACAAGACAATGGGAGGAAAGCCAAAAATGAAGGCGGTATTATAAGGAAATCACTTATCCTTAGTGACAGGAGGCCAGTGTTCACCCTGGTGGTGTGACAAGTTGCTGGTGATATCCCAAGTCCTACAGTAATTCAGAATACTCACTATCAACATAACAGGAATGATCACAGCTTTGTTTGATGGACCTCAACAGGATTTGGCTGTTAATCCAAGGCACTTCTCAACCTCTGTCAGGATCAACCCTAAAAAGGAAATACAAAAAAAATATTGTACTACAATAAAGCAAGCCCTTAAAAGAAATCTTGTGACAAAAATATGTATAGCTACCAATGATCAGATGTTCATTCTGTTGGAATGGTTTTGTGATTACTGCCTACACAAAGTGCATCAAGAAATGATTCAACAACATAATTTTCTAGTCAGAAACAAAAATGAGCTAATGCAGCTGATCCAACTCAACAGGTGGCTCAAGAATGTGAGCCCAGAGTTACCAAGGAAACACTTTCAGATGTGACAAGCTTGAATTAGTTTCATATAAACTGCAAAGGCAGAACAATGACCTGTACATGATAATTTGAAATAGGCTTGTAATCCTCATTTCCTATGACCATGTGGTGTCTTGGCTGTTAAACACCTTCAAGAATGTTTATCTCACCTGGACAGTATCTGCTTTCTTAGCTGACCTCCTCATGATCAGGATGAACACCTTTCTTGATAAACCTGCAAGTGTGAAAAACATGCTTTACATATGAACTTTCAGAAAAGGACATATCACACAATCGATTACACTGAACTTCTTTACAAAAAGCATCATCATATTTTTAGTTTATGTGAAATTAAATTTGCACTGGATGAAATGACAACTTTTTATTATCATTATCAAAGTTAGAAATATTTGGCATTGTGAGCTGGCTTGCACAAGAAATCATATGTCCTTCAGATGGAAAGGCGAACAATTGTCGAAAACAACCCAATGAATACCTCCAATACAGATGCAACAGAGGTGAGGTTACAAATGTGCAAGCATTATAACAACTGATGCAGTGACCAAAATATTTATGAACAAAGCAATGAAGAAATGAAATCAACACATTTGCCTGTAACTTGGAAAACAACTCCTCCGATGTTGATGTCGGCCTCAAGATTCCACAATCACATGGTGCAAGGGAAACCTTCCCTTGAATGAGTGGTCTACCAAGTAATCTCCCTTGAATGAGCTGTCTACCAAGTAATCTCCCTTGACTCAGGTGTCTACCCAGCCTCTATTTTAATAAGTCAAAGACACACACAACATCTACTGCAGGAGGCCAAGCCAAGAGATTCTAGATGGTACTATACAACATCTGATAATGGTGTTAATATACTGCTACTCTCACATGTCAAAGTCCCAGACAATGATAAACAGCATAATTGTTATACGACATGAGCATTTCATTTACCTCATTTAGCAGTGAAATTAGCATGGAGGACAAAATAGCAGTAAATTGCTGAAAACCTTGCAACTGGGAGGAAAAGGAAATGGTATCAAAGCAAGTGTATTAGAACTTTAAACGAATAACATGAACATATTGCCCGTTGTCAAACATTTGAAAGACAATAGAGCATCTATTAAGTTTAAGCTGATAACACACATGACAAAAAACATGACACACAGCAAGGAACAAGTTTCCTCACCAAGACATACTTACTCCACCACCAGAGGAAGACAGTAACATCCAACCGCCAACGTTGTACAATCAACTCTACGTTGAAAAGCATGTAAACTGTCTGACAGCATATGACCAAATCCACATTAACTGGCAGCAAATGATCAACCATTGACATTTGCCAAACCCTCTTCCCAGTGTTGTTCCTCAAGGAATATGACTATCCACACACGGTGAACACTTTCAACATCCAAATGGTATCATTTATCCCAAAAGTATCACAATTGGTTATTGTTCAGAGAGATGAAAATTCCACCAAGATGGAAACTAATCGTCTGTAGACTTGTGCTTTATTCAACATCAACATAGTAACTTGTCATATGAAAAGAAAGTAATATAGACACATTATTCTGGACAAAATAATCTCCAGTTGATACCATTCTCGGACTGTTTTGTCAACTGTGAAACAGTGACTTGGCAGTATTAAAAATTGAAAAAAACTACCCTATGTACCACTAATCATTTCTCATTAAGTAACACAATTGGGCAAAAAGCAACCTAAATTGAAGCAGTCTCTAATCTTTCGGATTAAAGAATATTGATCTTGAAAACTCTGAATTTGAAGGAAACTGACCTCCACTATGTCACTATCTCCACAAAGTCTTCACACATCACAAAAAAGAAGAAAGAAGAAGACTTTTCTTAAAGAGTCTTTCTACTAAGCATAAAGCTACTGAGTGTCCATTATTGGTACATCTACTTGCACAATACAATCTATCATCCAAACTGCTATTACAAGTTCAATTGTCTTATCTGCCATACAGAGTCAACATGGCATCAACTGTAATGCTGCTTCGTCAATACTCAAAACACATCAGTGTAACATTAAAAACAGCATTTCTCTGAAACAAAGTACAAAACAGTTCACTTGAACCATGAAATCATCCCTTCCCCATGGTTGAACAACTTTCTCAGCAGTGATGACATTCTCAGGACTTGGTAATGGCAAAGTGTGGACTAGATGTTTTGCTGACCATTCATGGCATACTCGACGAAACATTCCACTAATAAGTACTTCTAGAGTCTCCAGGAGAGTCCCAAACAGAAGCAGCCAATGTTCTGTCACCCAAACAGCATGTAAGAAGATTATAAATTTGTCAACACAAATGTTTGATCAAACCACCGACATTACTTTTGAAATTCCCAGTCAAAAAGTGTCTTGATTGCTAAGCAAGTCAGGGAAATGTACAAACTTCAAATCCATCTTCCTGCATTACAGAAAGAAAACTCACAACACTCTTTCAAGACTCATATCAATTTAGTTATAAGAGACCAACAATGATAGTTATATTGCAAGAAAATTGTTCTTCGTCAACCAAGCCCCTTCCTGTTCATAATATCAATACACTGCTGACCATGAATTCATATTGATTAAACCCCATGCTAATGGCTTGCCATGCAATGGAAGCGACTTCCACAATAAAATCTGAATTCAACTTATATCCTTTCAAATTATTTATTAATACCGTATGACAATACATTGTTTCATAAAAACGACTGATAAAACTACTGATGACATAATAAAAAATCTTAGAAGTATGAAAATATTCAGTGACTGAAATTAGTATCAAACCTTGATCCTGATCATCACATTCACAGCACATAACTTTAACAATGAGACAAGACATGAGACTGAAGAACTATTGACTGAATGAGTAAAGAAAGTACAATATGAATACAGTGAGGTCGTAATTTCTCCTCAGAAATTGATAGCAATCTGTTGTTTCAAAAACAGTGTACGATTGTCTCTCAAGAACGTTTGTGAAACACAACTTTGCACAGGTAAATCGAGCCCAAAAGAAAGATTCTGCCACGATATGCCGATGAACTGCTATATCAATGTTGATGTCACATGACCCATGGGGTACGTACATGTGATTCTGGTACACATATTCAACCTTGGTAGAGACGCACACAGATTTCCCGGCCATCACAGTCAGCACGGTTCATGCTTGCTGGGAACTGGGTCAAGGATTAACAACAGTTACTTTCAAAAAACACTTTCTGGGTTGGATTGGTTTGTTAGTTTATTGTTCAATGCCGCACTCAGCAATATTCAAGCTATATGACAGCGGTCTGTAAATAATCAGACCATGGACCAGACATGAGGCTGAAATCATGAGCATTGATCTATGCAACTGGGGATATGATGACATGCATCAACAAAGTCAGCGAGCCTGACCACCCAATCCCGTAGTCGCCTCTTACGACAAGTTCCGGGTTGGAAAACTAATGAACAAGAGGTAAACTAAAAAAAAACTTATAACCAGGGCACATGCCTGTATACAGGGTTTCATATTACCAGTACTAAACAAGATACAGCACCAATGTATGCAAAATCTTGAATATTGTTTTACACATTGGTAACAATTAAGTCTGGGCCAGGCAATTCCATAGAAACGAGCCACACCTTGGGGACTATGACATATAATCAGCAAGGGTGCCGTTGTACGAAACAAACTTACGCTATGACTGTTATAAGTCTATGTTGATGACTGGAGTTCACCATCACCTAAGGGCTAAGATCGCTTTGTACAACAGCACCCAGGTCGCACATTTTAACCATATAATCCTCATTTGTGTGGTCTCCTGATACGCATCGGGGACTTGAGACCTATGCTATGACCTCATTATCATGTTATCCATGTTCAATCCAAAGCATCCAATATTCTTGTGATAGTGATCTATAGGCATCTGGAAACTTTGTTTAAATACATGTTAAAAAACTGCTTAACGTAGCACAAGATGAAAGGACTTAAGATCTAAATGGAAGGTGAATTATCCAAATATAGCATAAGCATGATCAGACACACACTTTACAAAGGATACAGATTGCTCTCTGTGCATCATCTGCATTGCCAAACCGAACCAGCCCCACGCCAGTGGATCGGCCATTCTCCTTCTCAATCTCTGCATACTTCACATCACCTACAACCAAAACAACTTGGTCTTTCAGAAATGTCAACAACAGAGGAGCTTTAGTGCTTACAAACAACAGCATTTCAATTAGTATCAAGTTAATAACAATTACAACAGAATATATCTTACCAATACCCTTGAACTTTTGTCTCAGTGCCTGCCATGAAAATGAGTACGGTAGCTGAAAAAGAGAGTAGAAGTAAGGTTATCAATTTAGTCTAACACAGGGACTGTAATCGATTTACTTGGCTTGTAAGAAACTACAGCAATATAGTGTTCCTTGTGTCCAAATACAGGGCTCGCCCATCTTTAAAACATATAGTACCTGAATATAGTTTTGAAATATAAATTCCATTTCACGTAAGGAAACAGCGTCAGAAATTGGCACTAGTCCTGTAGTCCTTGCTAAACTGCGCAATAGTTACGGTATCATAAAGACTAGTAGACATTTGCCATTTTTAAGGGTCTTGCTATATGTTATCATTAGTTATAAGGACTAGGGGACCAAACATGTTAGTTTCTACTGCTGTACAGTCAAGACAGTTTTCAGATACTCACATTCTTAACAATGATTGTGCAGGCATCTGGTCTAGTTGAGCGGGACTTGTCCCCTCGGTCACTGTATCCAGATCCCATACTGCCGCCTCCCATATTGGAGTTTGAGTTGGAGCCCCAGTTGCCACCCATGCTGCTCTGGCCCATCATATTGGTGCCTGACATTGCACTCATGTTGGACATGGATCCAGTCATACCCATTGAGCTGCCGAACGAGTCACCCATTCCACTGGCTGATCCCATTTTGTTGTTGCCCATACCACTGAAGTTATCCGACATGCCTGACCCCATGCCAAAGTTGCCCATGCCAGTCCCCATTCCCATAGATCCGGTTCCCATGGTGTTCCCCCCCATACCTGTACCCATCCCCATGCTGCCTCCGACTCCTGACATTGTCCCCATATTGCCCCCCATGCTGTTCATACCTCCCATCCCACTGTTCATGTCAAGCCCCCCCATGGAACCCATGTTACCAAGACCACCCATGCTTGTCCCCATGTTGCCCATTCCTCCTCCACCCATACCGCCTCCCATGTTGCCACCCCCCAGAGACTGAGCCCCCATACCTGTGCCCATCCCACCACCCATTCCTCCTGTCATACCACTACCCATCCCACCACCCATACCACTGCCCATTCCCATGCCACCTCCCATCCCCATACCACCTCCCATCCCCATGCCACCTCCCATGTTGCCCATCCCTCCCATGTCTGCAACACAACAAGCATGACGATTAAACAACAATGCTGACGTCATTACAACCATAGACGATTAAACAGATAATCTGGGAGTGATCACACTTAAATGTGAAATGAGCTTTGTTGGAAGCACTCAAAAACTATCCACCATACTAAAGAAAGAAAATAGTACTGTAAAATCGGCTTTGTCTGGAGCCTGCTTCAACAGTAGCAACAGCAGGATTAGTAGTTCCAGATGTAATGCTGTACCGTTACATATAAATAAAGGAGTGATTTTATAAAAGTCTGCTTAGAAAGTGAGCTGGGCCAGACAAAGGAAGCCACAGATAGTTAAATGTACAAAGACATTATTTTGTGTAAACATAAGTCACCAAAATTTGAAATGTTAAAAAATTCAAGAATCACTGAGACTTACTGGACATCTGTGGGTTATTATGCAAAGGCATTCCACCGGCACCAAGACCCATACCAATTGACTTCAAACCAGCTGCAACATAAATAGTTTCTCAATGAACAAATTGTTCCATTTACTATCATTTAATTCATGTCATCGTTCCAGATCAAGCCATATTTTAGACCACTGGGATACATATCTACAATTGTCCTCAAAAGTTTACCGTATTTTCTTGAGTATAGTGCGCACTTTTTTTTCCAAAAAACACAGCCGTGTAGAAGGGGGTGCGCATTATACACGAATTATGAGTTTGGATGTTTTTTTCCCCCATGGAAAGACATTACTGTGAGCACGTAACACCGGAAATACCATGTCAATAAATCCATACTGAAGTACGCAAAATAATCATGTAATTACACTGTCTGGCTATAAAAAGTGTTCTTTGTATATCTGGACTTAAGTTTGTAACTCTTTTCATTAATTTTATTCAAAATTCCTTTTAATATTGTTTTTATTAATTTCGGCGAAATCGTGTGTGAAGCGATCAAAAACGCGGAAGATCACACAACTCACTGTTATTAACAGCAACCACGGTCAGAATACCGCTATTGACGCCTTGAAACGAACTTTAGTTGACAGAGAATGGATACATATATCATAAATGACATACTTTGACTCGTTAAAAGTCATATTTGTTTTTGTTTGACGATTCTATGTCAACATGAAATTCTCGCGATCACGCGATCTCGTGCGAGTGAGCCTTGACGTTGACTGGTCAGACTGGTTCCATGTAAAAAATAATACCCGGCAATAGCGTTCAGCTGCTTCGCTTAGGGTTATTATTTTATATAGGTTTAGTAAAGGCTGCATATAATTAAGAAAATAATGGAATATATTATTCCTGATAAAAAAAATAGTTTCAGATACAATTTTTGCCGATCCTTGCATTAAAAATCCAATAAAGTTATATCATTGGGTGTGTCTTGACCGAATCACCGGTCGATTCCAAGAAAACGTGTGTACAGCTGATTGCTGATTCAAATTTCTTTTTTTCCAAAATATTGAACCCGCTAGAGGGGGGTGCGCATTATACATGGGTGCGCACTATACTCAAGAAAATACGGTAAATGTTTTTTGTAGTGAAAAATGAAAGTCCTCTTCAAAATGTCCTAAGGCTATTTATACTTACATCATGCAATAAATAAATCACATTCATGATCAATATTAATGCCAGGTACTTACGTGGAAGTTTAGGCATGGGTGGAGGCTGGTCTTCTTTTGCTTTATCCATTCTGACCACCATGTTGCGTTCATACAATGTCTGACCATTAAACATAGCTGACATAGTTAAGGGAAAAAATCATCATAAAATCATTCATATAATTCTAAAATCAGTCATGTCTAATACAAGTAACAAGGAGTTATTTGTTTTCTCTTAACACATCATCATGTACCCATTCTGGGTTCAATATACTGCATGACAAAATGACAATTATAAAAATCACCAAAGTGAGATCATATAACCACGACCCGGTACTATCCTTTCACAGGTACGACTTCAAAACATCTGCAGAAAAGTATTCTAGGAGCTGTACACAGACCATCATTCCATTTAAAAGACAGCAGATGGATGTGAACATGACTCAATAAAATTTTATAACATGCCACAAGGTCTCAGGGATGTACAAGTACATATATCTTACAGTTATTTATTATAAATGTCATTTATACTTATCCTGACTACTTCTCATTTGCTTACCTCTTCTTATCCCAAAAGGTAGTGGAAATGCCCTGTGCTGTGTTATCAGAGAACAGAAAAACATCTCACCCAAATGCACCCCTCTCACACGCAGGCGCACAGGAACCATGTGACAAACCCGTCCGACTCATCTTTCTCCCATCATTCTTAAGTTTAAATCACATCAGGGAGAGCTGGGACAGCTGGACAGGTGCTTCAGCGTATGAGTTAGCATATACGACATTGATTTAAAAATTCATATTTTACCTTATCCTGACTTATACTAATTTGCTTGAAACTCACACCTTGATGTGCGGTTCTGACATGGTCTGTTCTGTAAGAACCCCATGTGAATGTGGTCAGACATTTTCAAGGCTCTGTTGTTTGTTCTTCAAAGTCTGTAGTGGGGTAGGACCTCCACTGACCAATGGAAGTTGGCCATCAAGCCCTGGGAATGAAGAAGTCCAGCTGAAACTGAACTGACGTGATCGGAAACAATTTTTTTTAATTCTTTTACAGGCAATCAGCTCAGTCATTCTGAGGATTCTTCAAGGCAGTCAGCATGGCTTCAATAATGGAGCATGACATGGAGAGGCCAAAGAAGGAACTACTTTTTGAGTCGGACATCAAAGTATAACTTCTGATGCTGCGTTCAGGTTTACTGTTGTGCACAGGTGTCTTTTTCCAAGAGGAGGGCGGTTTATGGATGATAACTTTATCTGGTTGGATGGTTTGGATTATGAGCACAGAAAAGAATTTCAAAGCAGCTCGCTAGAGTGAAAATAGGTGTGTGTGAACCAGACAGGGGGGTCACGTGGTTCCAGTGTGCCTGCACGTGAGAGGGGTGCGTTTGGGTGAGATGTTTTTCTGTTCTCTCACAGCACAAGAAGTTTCCACTACCTTTCGGGAATAAGAGAGAAGCAAATCAGCATGAATCAGGGTATGGAAAAATTCCAAGTTACCTTGATTGTCTTTGATACAGACATCGATACAAGCATGTTTTATAGCAACCTGAATAGTGACCTTCACCTTTGATATTGACAAAAACATTTCCAATGTGAAGGATACAAATTGCCTGTACAGCTTCAAGAGGCATCTCAAACTCCACCGTTCCCATGCCACGGCTCTTGCCTTCTTTGTCTGTCTTGATTTCAGCCTTCAGCACATTACCAGCAAGTTTGAACACATCCTTTAACTTCCTCCATGTCACCTTGTAGTCAAGCTGAGGAAGAAATACAGAAATCACCTCCTTGTTTGGTATTTAACTCCATATATACCATTAGTGGACTATTTCAAAATAAATATACGAAACATATCATAAAATTTACAATAAACTGATACAAAGGTATCATAATGTCCCAAAGATAAGATGTTTTAGTTAATGCTTTATTTAGTTTAGCCATTTATACTTTTTTGTTGTCCAATGATGATATGTATTTACATTTTTCTGACACTTGTCTACTTACATTAGCAACAAACACAGTGTTGGTGACTGGTCCCTCGATTCCTAATTGCTGGAGAGTCTGGTTGTCTAGTCCATGGGGCATCATACTTCCACCCCCCATGTTTCCCATCATCCCCCCACCCATACCTCCTCCCATACCCATGCCACCCCCCATACCTCCTCCTCCGCCTCCACCACCCATACCCATTCCTCCTCCCATGCCCCCGCCCATGCCTCCTCCCATACCTCCACCACCACCCATACCTCCTCCCCCGCCCATGCCTCCACCCCCACCCATGCCTCCTTGCATCCGCATGTCATTTTCACGTTCCTGGAAAATAAAATAGTTATGGAAGACATCTTTCAAATCAACCAATGGTGCAAATAATCACAATGTCCAGCAAACATTTATAAATTATATATCAACATTGTTCCAAATTATCACAAGTACGCTAGCCCCCATACTACTAAATAAAATTATGCTGTGGGCAAATAAAAATCCAATGGTTGTCCTCATTAACTAGAAGCATTTGAGGCAGCGATAGAAACTAACAGTTTTAATCCACTAGCTCTTATTATGATTACATATAGCAAAAAACCCTTAAAAAGGGTATATTTCTACTAGTCCTTAGGATATCTTTAAAATTGGACAGTTTGGCAAGAACTATAGGACAAGTAACAATTTCTAACACTGTTGAGGCCTATAATTGTGAACCAATTCCCGATGCTTCAATTTGGCTACAAGTTGGAACATAATGAAACTGACAGAAAAGGTAAACATAGCATAGCAGACAGTTTTGTCTTGTTCAAGCAGGTAGCTACAAACAAGGTGGTATCAATCATGAACAGTCATCCATTACTGGAAGTACACACCGATCCAATTTACAACAAAAAATCAATGTTGTGTATGGATAATTCAAGAGGAAAAAAGTGAAAAGGCATACAAACCTCACGGACAACCATGAATCTGTCCTTCAGCTGATATCTGTGCATGCTTTCTATGGCTTTCCTAGCCATTTCCTTGTCTTTGAATTCCACGACACTGGAAAACCGAAATGTATATGCATGCTACAACTGAATTTGTGTAACGACTCACACGGTCATCCTTTTACATCTAATTGGACTGACTCATAGCATGCACACTGAATTATCATTTACCTCCATTTTAGATTGTTGTGTATAAAATACAGATTATTTGACCCCCCTTTTAATATGACGTAGACCCCACGATTTTCATTTTCATGCCCTTACACATATATCATTAAGTTCAAATAGTTCATAAATTGGCCATAAATGTTGCTGTCTCAAAATACAACAAATCTAAAGTGACCAATTTCAAGCAGAGTGACTTGCATCTTCAGGAAGGCCATTAAATAGACATCTGATAAATAGTGATATCGTCACTGCATGATTGTAACATGAGCACTTACCCTACTCCTTTAGGTTTCCCATCCGGTAACTCAAAAAGTTCAACATATGCAACCTCTCCAACTGAAATGAAATTATTCAAATGTTACAGAGAGATCTCAATAGTTCAAAAACCATTTTGCCTTTTAACCCGTTTCAGTTTTAACTTCTAAAATATTTATGTCTAGTAGAATTTTGTAAAAGATGCTCACTGCCTTGATTATTAGCTGAGCAAGCTCAGCTTCAAGATAAAACATTAATTGAAAAACTAAATTAACGACCTCGTCTCTCTCAAAACGATATTGTCAAAAATTTGAATAATTAATTCCCGAGACTGACCTTCCTTTCTGAACAAGTCCTTGATATCCTGCCATTTCATCTCATATGGGATATTACTAATGATCACTCTCTTTGAGATCAGGTTAACAGGACGACGCCTTTCACGGTCCCTATCACGGTCACGTCTCGGTGAACGGGACCGGGACCGTCTGACTGGTGACCTTGACCTAGACCGCCGCAGACTGGTGTTGGAAAGAAAGCAATATTGTAATATGTTACCAATTCGGAGACAAAGGTAACATTTTTTAGAATATAAGACTTGCAGATGTTAATAGTAATTAATTATTACTTATACCATGTATACCGTTATTATGTAACATAATAACATAATTAAAACATAATGTTTTATTATTAAACACATGGTAAAGTGCTTATTACCAAAGATTACCTTTGATAACTAGAACACATAAACTACAAAAACTACAAGTGTATAATTTCCCAAAGAACACATAAAAAATTAACACTGGGTGTAATTCCTTCCAACACATATTTTCCTTGTATGATGGAATAAAATCTTGACAGATCTGGGAAAATTCACAATGTTCACTTGGCCTGGTGCACATTAACTGAAATAATTGTTTCATCCATGTCAATTGTATTTATGATGCTACTCATTTAGTTAGACATTTCCTTACTATTTTTGCTCCTGGTATCACTTTGCTAGCCTGGAGGTTACTTTTTATGTAGGTTTATGATAGGGCACATGATGAATTTAGACATTTTCAGAGTGAGTTGAAATGCATCAGTACTACTGGCAGTACTGCTGTGTACCCTGCCTATAAACTACAGGTTCATGTGCCCTCAGATGTATGTCTTACTTACTTACTTACTTACTTTGGAGATTTAACGTGCGCTTTCCGACTGATGCGTATTTCGCACACGGGCCCGGCCAGGCCATTTAATGTGTTTCCGAAAGGGGCGAAGGTGGTCTGTGCAACCCAAGAGGGGGGTTTTAGGGGTTGCTTATATAGAATTTGGGAATTTTGAGATTTGGATGTATGTCCTATGAATGTATGCTATATATGAGGACTGCATATTAAAGAAGTATGGCTATATCGCAACACAACCCAGAAGTTTCAAAATTCCTGCCCTCTAAATGTTTGCAATACCAGATGAGTACAGTTCAACAACATGACTGTGTAACAAACCACTCGGGAATAATCCACCTACATGATGGCAGCTTGTAAACAATCAAGTTGGCCAGACAATCCAATAATTACTATTGGGAACAATGATCCACCCCGTCAGGACATCAGCCTGTGCCAAAGACTTTTAAGTCTTCTAGCCCCAATATGACTCTAAGCATCACTTCAGTAAAGTTTAGGGTCACTCTATGGACTCACTAGTTGTGCTTACTAGAGTGAACAGAATTTACTAGCCTGGTCTTCAGAATAGCAACTGAAGTCACACACTGGGGACAATTACAGGCTATCAACTAAGTCACAGAATCTTCCCAGCCGATTCATTTGATCGCCTGTTATGACAAACAAGGCTTGATTGGGTGACACCGATGGTATATTATGGGGAAAACAAACTTGCCTCCTCTAAGTGTTATCGACATACGCCGAAATGTGGGTCTACACGTGCTTTGGGGTGCCTAATCTAACATAGAATTTAGTGGTGTCCATATAAATGATGAGCATGATGATGCTGAAGTTTATTTTTCTTTTCACTATTTGTATAAATGTATAACATGTATAAACAAGCTAAAGATACTATTTTCAACTATCTACATCCATGGCCACAAGGAAATGATATATTCTTTGTTGAACCAGTGTCGCCATTTTCGGTTTACGAGGGGACCCAGTGCCCCAATTTTCGTGCATGCAAATCTAATTTGTTTACGTACAGATACATGAATTATGCAAAGCAAAGTCGGGGCAAATAGATCTAGAGTAATGTTCAATCTTAATGTTACCTTTGGCGATCAGTTTTAACATCCTGATCTCTCTCAGAATATCCTTCGTTGTCGAAATCAGCCATGGCTTCTTCTCGGTTTCCAGAATGTAGCCTCGTTTTCAATTGTTGCGAGAATCGACAGTTTCCGTCAACATTCGTTCGGATAATCTCGTGTACGAGGTCATTTCTAAACCCTTCAATCACTTCAGATTGCAAAACTTCGATTTGCTGCAGAATGAGCACTAGCAATGTTAAATTATAATAGAGAGAATTAGATATCATCGTTTTGAAACTCCTTTAACTAAACAAATTATCTATCATGTAAATATATCATCTCACTGCAATATATGCCAAACAGAACATAAACAGAAAAGAAAGGTGTATTTCAATGTTTTGTTTTCATTAAGGCTTTACAATTAGACTGGATATTCTAAAATGTTATTAAAACTCGAAAGAGGTTTTTTTCTGCTTTATTTCAAAGAACGATCGCACAAAAACATGAAAACTATATGAACACAAACAGTCAATTCCTGACAAATTACACGTGACGAATTTCAATCAAACGTGATTCAACTTTGTAATGACTGCTATTTTTAAATTATTGTTTATCTTTGGTCTAAGGAATAGGTGATACATGTAAATAAGTGTCTATAAAATGTTTGGGGCAATGATGTCACTTCCAATATTGTGTGACTTCCAAGCTTAGGAATCTGCTATAGGTAACGTCATAATACATACGCATAATCTGTGCAAAATGTGGTCTGGGAAGATAGGTTAGCCTTGTTAAAGATTTCGCTCGTCTACCCGAAGACCCTTGGGTTTGACTCCCCCAAATTGGTGCAATGTCTGATGTCCAATCATGTCGTCCCCCGTCATGATATTCACTCTCACTCACTCCAAATCAGGACTACATTTTCTTCTCTCTTTTTTTTATCTGCTTGAGGGACGGTCGGGTAGCCTAGAGGTTAAAGCGCGGTTGCTCGTCACACACCCGGGTTCGAGTCCCCACATGGGTACAATGTGTAAAGCCCATTCTGGTGTCCCCCGCCGTGATATTGTTGGAATATTGCCAAAAGCGGCGTTAAAACATACCTACTCACTCACTTTTATCTACTTGACGCTGCAGTTTCATTACTACATAACTCCTCTCATGTTATATCAGAGGGTATGTTAAAGATAATACCTTTAGCATACCCGTATGTCAGACTAATGAGATCTGATTGGTTCACGTGATCTTGATAAAATACAGCGTAACTCGCCTTGGAGGGTAACATATTTCTTAGCGGGGAAATAAATCTCTTTTACCCCGCCACGATCTCTGAGATGGATGGATGTCTGAGAGACAGAATAATTCCCTTATACCCCACTTCAAAGCCGCACGCTTTTATCGAGTCAAGGGAAGTGACGTGGCATGTGACCTCAGCTCAATCGAACAGCTGTTTTTTTTAATCAATTTTGAATTTGTTTGAATTCTTTTACAATGTCATATTCAAACATGTCGGTAAAAGTCTCCAGTCAAGCATCTTATTTCACAAAGGTTATTTTAGTGTTGATATATGATGTCACAGTAGTCACGTGATAAACAAAATACTCGTATCAGTAAAATCATTTATGCTTCTTAATACAAACCAAACAGAAATGTAAAAATAAATCTAAATTGAAACCTGATCATGAATTATTATGTTAACTTGAACATATGAAATGAAAAAGCATGTAAACTGAATAGATGATAAATATCAATCTCACAGATAACAATGAGGAATAATTATTGTGTACTGCCTTCGTCAGACAGTTTCCGTCGAGTTTCCGTCTCTGTCAAACTTTCTCCAGAACACTGACTTCTGAATTTCATTCATCATTGATACTCGCGGATGTTGGTGTTGTTATGGGCTTTTTTTAGTTACGGCCTTTTCAATGGTATGGTCTGAACATGTTGACATTTTCATCATGAAAACAACCACTCGATAAGTTAAACATGAGAATAAAAACAAATAACGCCTATCTATATATTCTGTTCCTTCGCACGGCTTCCATCCATGCACATTATCCAAGATCTAAGGTTATTGCACCGCTCAAACATGACATGTGTGATTTTAATGTGTCTGCCAAGATTGACATATTGGACTGTTTGGATTGGAAAATAGTCTGTTGCATGATTAGATCTTCATGGGCAGACGAGATGTAATACCCTGTAAATTGACTACAGCCTTGTCTTCATGGGCAGACGAGATGTAATACCCTGTAAATTGACTACAGCCTTGTCTTCATGGGCAGACGAGATGTAATACCCTGTAAATTGACTACAGCCTTGTCTTCATGGGCAGACGAGATGTAATACCCTGTAAATTGACTACAGCCTTGTATTCATGGGCAGACGAGATGTAATACGCTGTAAATTGACTACAGCCTTGTCTTCATGGGCAGACGAGATGTAATACCCTGTAAATTGACTACAGCCTTGTCTTCATGGGCAGACGAGATGTAATACCCTGTAAATTGACTACAGCCTTGTCTTCATGTGCATACGATGCTGCGTGAAAACTAAAATTCAATAGAGAACATAACTGGCGGGCTTACAGGACAACCTTCGTTCTTTTGGTTTGTCGTGTACTGAACACTAAACTATAGGCTGCTGCTCGCGTATTGTCTCAGATACAAGGGACACTACTCTTGTCGACTTTAAGTTTGTGTATGTGAAGAGCCTTATTGAGAGCATATGTTGCCCATTTGGTGCTAAAGTTGGATTTGCTCTGTGTAGCTTCGACCAACCACACTTTACATTTGTTTGAGATCTGTTTTAATTCATTCTATAATCAAACAAAGCTACAACGTAAGTTTTTTTCAATTGATCAAATGCATTTTTCTATTTGGTAAACCACAAATGTCTTTGAGTATTTTACTCTATCTTATAGTATTCTGTACTTTAAGACATGTTACTGATCAGGGTAATATACATTCTATTCTTATATTGAAGGTCGATACTTCATGTTGATCATTTAAGCAATGACCGCACCATATTTCCTTAGATTTTCCCTCCAGAATATTAATCGCATATTTTTGTTGGCACGCTCCGTGAGCGGTAAATCTCCGCAGAAACTTTCCCGGATATCAACTTCCGTATAGTTTATGACGATGTTTCAGGATGACCTTTTCAATGCCCCTTCATCAGGTGAATACAGTCAGTAAACGTACTGGGTTAATATATATAGGTTAATATATACTAGTATATCCTTGTACATTAATCTTACCTTGTGTAAACATATGCGGATATATATGTATGCTGATATGTTTAACCCAAAAGTGTATTCACCTGATGAAGGGGCATTAACTTGAATTACATACATACATACATACATACACACACACACACACACACACACACACACACACACACACACACACACACACACACACACACACACACACACACACACACACACACACACACACACACACATACATACATACATACAAAATACCTTTATCCTCACAAGATCTTTCGCCGTTCAACGATTCTTCAGGTGTAATGAGAAATTTAACTTATATGCTGATATGTTTACACAAGTTATGATTAATGTACAATGATAACAATACATCAAGGATGCCGCAGAGAGCAGACTCGTGGAACCATATGGGTGTGATAACAAGGAGCTGACCAGGACAATCAAGATGCCAAAGTCAAAGTCAAAGAAGTTTATTGTACAAAAGGCCACCGGCCCATATACAAGAAAGAGTTACGCATGTAGATACAATCATATATGTTACACATTGGGATATACACGTTGTTTGATTAATTCATTTCTTTTGGCTAATGCATGCTTAATATAAAGAGAAAGATTTAATATATTTGATTCGTTCTTTGTCGTCAGCATAACTACAAAGGCGTTTATCGGTGACATTGCTATTAAATAATCTTTTATATATTTCTTTCGGAGATCATAGTAAAATTGACAGACAAACACAAAATGAATTTCATTTTCTATCTCTAGATTACACAATGGACAAATTCTTTTCAGTTTTTCAATGGACAGTTTTCTTCCTTCATTTACAAATAGGTCTAGCAAACCAAGTCGATATTTAACTAAATGTTTTCTTAAGTTTTACGTAGTGAGTACTGATAAATATATTTCTGGTTGAAGTAAAGTCTTGATAGTTTTGTAATATTCATAACATGAACTATCCTCTAAAGTGGAGTGCCATTCTTGGTAGAACATATTTGTAGACCGATTCCGAAATTCATTAAGAAACATATTTACATTTCCAACTGACTGACATAGCCATATAAAACCAAAACAATGCGAAAATAAAAGATTTCTTATATGCGATGTCCAAGTATTCTTTCCCATATTATCTGAATGTAGAAGCATGTTATAAGCTAATTTGGGGAGACGTTGTTCATGCATATGAAGAATTTTAAACCAGTATTTTAAACATCTGATCTGAGAGTTAATATATAATGGGTATCTACCACATTCACCATAAACCATGCAATTTGGTGTAGAAGATCCGAAACAAAGAAACGTTTTACATGCTTATAAGTGAACCTTCTCTAAACAGTCATAACATTGAAATCCCCATACTTCAGAACCATACAATAAAATTGGCTGTATCTGGGTATCAAAAAGCTTAAAGAAGATATTAGGTGACATCGATCCCACTTTATGAGAAATAGACATTACACTTATTAAAGCTTTCTTTGCACGCAAGGACAAGTCAAGGGCACATTTTTTCCAATTCATTGTGCGTGAGAACCAGATTCCTAAATATGAGTAGTGATCTACTATATTGACTAACTGACCATCGAATGACCATCTCTCTTTCGACGCTATTGGACCACCTTTTCTGAAGATCACAATTTTAGATTTTTCCAAATTTACTGATAATTTCCATTCTTTCGTGTATGTACTTATAATATTTAATTGAGTGAGTGAGTGAGTTGGGTTTAACGCCGCTTTTAACAGTATTCCAGTTACATCGCGGCGTGTCAGCTCAATGTGGGAGGAAAGCTCGAAGTGATGCAGGTCTCAGACGTTTACCACTTCGGTGAAACCCACGAGCACGGGTATTGTGCTGACAAACCTAGAAACATAATCGGGGCGAACCTGGATTCGAACCCACAATCATAGGTTTCTGGCGTGCCCAAGGGACGCAACTCTGCACAGCGAAT